GGCCAACATGGTGAAACCCCGTCTCTACTACAAATACAAAAAATTAACCAAGTGTGGTGCTGGGCGCCTGTAATCCCAGCAACTCAGGAGGCTGAGGCAGGAGAATCACTTGAACCCAGGAGATGGAGACTGCAGTGAGCTAAGATTGTTCCACTATACTCCAGCCTGAGTGACAGAGTAAGACTCTGCCTCAAAAAAAAAAAAAGTGAGACTCTCCCTCAAAATAAATAAATAAAGGCCAGGCACAGTGGCTCACACCTGTAATCCCAGCACTTTGGGAGGCCAGGCAGGTGGGGAGAGTTATGGAGGTGGCTTTTTACTACTGGGTAGGTGGAAACCTGGGCTCCCCATGTGATTGTCACTAATAACATGGGGTGGGACAGGGTTTCTTATCACCCAGTGTGGTTTCAAGTCCCAGCTCCTTGTCTACTTTCTCGACTATTAACCCAGTGCGTGGGGTAGGGTGCCTAACTACAGCCCGCTGAGTGCAAGTCTAGGCTGTTTACTTGGCTTTTGTTCGTGTGTGTAGAGGTGAGGCCACAGTTCTTCTGTGGTGTTTGAATGTCTTCTGTATTCTTTTATGAGATGGTCAGTCAGGTGCAGCCATAAGAGGAGACACAGGGGAGGCTCAGGAAGACACAGATTTTATGCTCACAGGTTACACCATGCAGGGCCACGTGGGAAGGACCCCCAAAGGGTCAGGAGGCAGAAGACAGGAGCGAAGGGAAGGCATTATTGGCCAGAGCCTTGGTTGAGGTTTCTATGAGACAAACAGGGTAGGGCAGGGGGAAGAATTTGGGATTGGCTGGTTTGAATAATTTCAGCGGGCTCTAAGCCACAGGCGTGGCCCAGAGCTGCCTGGCACCTGGCCCTGAGGTGATTAAGGCAGGAGTGTTGCCTCCTTTGGTGCTCTGGCGGGTGGATGAAGAAGGAAGGGCTCTGGATTGGTTAATTTGTATAGCAAAGGCTTGCACCAACACTGAGTCTTTTGCTACTTCTAAGAATTGGCTAGCCTTGGGGGCAGTCTCTCTCCAGCCAGAAAGATCTTTAGAATGTCAAAACATCATAATAGTTCCTCAATTCCAGCAGTTTAGGCGTAGGAGGGCAGATCACTTCAGCCCAGGAGTCCAAGAGCAGCCTGGCCAATATGGTGAAACCCTGTCTCTACTGAAATACAAAAATTAGCTGGATATGGAGGTACACGCTTACAGTCCCAGCTACTCGAGAGACAGGTGGGGGGATCACCTGAGCCTTGGGAGGTTGAGGCTGTAGTGAGCCATGATCCCACCACTGCACTCCAGCCCAGTGACAGAGTGACACCCTATCTCAAAAAAGCCAAACCAAACATCATAATATAAACAAAATAGACACAGAAGCTGAAGTAGAGCGATGATTTCAAAAGGTTTCTATTGTGTGAGGCTGCCTCTTCCTCATCCTTTGGCTGAAGAGAGCGGGAGCAGGCTTTCGCTGTGGCTTTGTTGTGTGCATTTGTTGCGGCTTCTGGGTTGCTGACTTCTTCAGCTCCAAGTCTGTACTAGAAGAAGCACAAAGAAACCCAGGGAACCCAACACCGTGTCTTCCATGGGTCCTGAGGTCCCTAGCATGTCTCTTTCTCTTTCAGAGCCCTTTAAGGGTTGTTTTATACATAGTGGTCAGGAATTTTTGTTGTACTTGGCAGGAGAAATAGAAAACTACCTCTACTCCATCTCTCTCAGAAGCGCAAGTCTCATGTTTGTTTTTGAAGGATGTTTTCATGGGGTGTAGAATTCTGTGTTGACGTTATTTTTCTTTTTGAGACAGACTCTCACCCAGGCTGGAGTGCAGTGGCGTGATTATAGCTCACTGCAGCCTCAACCTCCTGGGCTCAAGTAATCCTCCCACCTCAACCTCCCAAGTAGCTGGGACTGCAGGTACCTACCACCAGGCCTTGCTAATTTTTTGTAGAGACAGGATTTTGCCATTTTGCCCCTGCTGGTCTCGCTCAAGTAATCCACCCACCTTGGCTTCCCAAAGTGCTAGGATTACAGGGCAGCCACCACACCTGGCCCATCCTTTTCTTTTAGTACTTGAAAGATGTTATTCCACTGTCTTCTGGCCTGTACTATGCCTAATGAGAAATCTGTTGTCAGTTTTACCTTTGTTCCTATATACATAATGTTTTGTTTGTTTGTTTGTTTCTTGTGTTTTTATTGAGACGGAGTTTCACTGTGTAGCCCAGGCTGGAGTATAGTAGTGCGATCTCAGCTCACTGCAACCTCTGCCTCGTGTTCAGGTGATTGTCCTGCCTCATCCTCCTGAGTAGCTGGGTTTACAGGCATGCACCACCATGCCCAGTTGATATTTTGTATTTTTAGTAGAGATGGGTTTCACCATGTTGGCCAGGCTGGGCTGGTCTCGAACTCCTGACCTGAAGGGATCCCCCCACCTCAGCCTCCCAGACTGCTGATATTACAGGCGTGAGTCACTGTGCTGGCCTATGTAATGTTTTTTTTGTTTTTTGTTTTTTTTTGTTTTTTTATCTTCAGTGCTTTTAAGATTTTTATTGCTAGTTTTAAGCAATGGTCCTTTGTGTAGTTTTCTTCATGTTTTTACTGCTAGAATTTGTTGATGTTCTTAGATCTGTACGTGTATTATTTCTGTTAAATTTCTGTCAGCTTTCAAAAACTTAACTTCTGTGGTGTAAGTTTTTCTTGAATATTCATGTAGATTCATGTGAACTGACAGCTCGGTCAGGACACGAAACCATGCCTCATCCCAAAAACCTCCCTTGTGCTTTTCCTTTGTAGATAATTGTTATTTCTTGAAATATTTATGTTATCCTTTTACCTTCAGACTCTAATGATGAATATCAGGGACAACTTAAAATTGTCCCATAGTTTACTGATAACGCTGTGTTGTTGTTATTTTTAGATTTTTCTTTATGTTTTATCAGAGATATTTTCTACTCATAATGAATATCTTCAAGTTCACTAATCTTTTCTTCTATGGTGTCTAGTCTGTTATTAATCACATCTGGTGTTTTTGTTGTTGTTTGTTTTTGTTTTTGTGAGACAGGGTCTCTGTCGCCCAGGCTGAAGTGCGGTGACGCTGTCATAGCTCACTGCAGCCGCCAGCTCCTGGACTCAGGTGGTTCTCTCATCCCACATCAGCCTCTGGAGTAGTGCCACCACACCTGTCTAATTTTCGTATTTTTAGTAGAGATGGGGTTTTGCTGTGTTGCCCAGGCTGAGCTCCAAACTCCTGGGCTCAAGCAGTCCGCCTGCCTCAGCCTCCCACTGCTGGGATGACAGGTGTGAGCCACCGTACCTGGTGTATCTGGTGTATTTTTCATCCCAGAGATTCTGCTGTTCATGTGTAGAAGTAGATTTATATCTATTTCCATGTTTCTTCTTAATGTGTTCTTCCATTTTTCCATTTTTCCATCTCCTTGAACATATGAATGTATTTATAATATCCTTTTCAGGGTCATTGTCTTCTGATATCATCATCTGTGTTATTTCTGGATCTTTTTCTATTTATTTCCTCCTTGTTACTGGTTTTTCCTACATCTTTGCATGCCCTGTACTGTTTGATTGGATGCCAGACTGGATGCTGGGGTTTTTGTGTTCCTTTAAAAAATGTTTTGAGCTTTATTGTGGGACAAAGTTAGTTGGAACTAATTTGATCCTTCTGCGGTATTGAAGCTTTATTAGGTAGGTCTGGACAGCCTTTAGTCAGGCAGTTTCTCAGCCTCGGTACTGTCGGCACTTCGGGTAATTCTTTGTTGTGAGGGGCTGTCCTGTGCATTTGAGGCTGTTTAGCAGCATCCCTGGCTTCCACCCAGTAGATGCCATAGCACCACTTAGCACGTGCTAAGAATGATTTTTACATTTTTAGAAAGTTGTAAAAAAAGATACGCCATAGAGACCACCATCTGTGGCCAGCAACACCAGAGTATTTACACAGAGATTACTTTCCTTTTTCTTTTCTTTGTTTTTTTGAGACAGAGTCTCACTCTGTTGCCCAGGCTGCAGTGCAGTGGTGTGATCACAGCTCACTGTAGCCTCAACCTCCCTGGGCTCAGGTGATCCTCCCACCTCAGCCTCCTGAGTAGCTGGGATTACAGGCTTGTGCCACCATACTGGGCTAATTTTCTTTTTATTTTTTGTAGAGACAAGGTTTGCCCATGTTGCCCAAGCTGGTCTCAAACTCCTGGCCTCAAGAGATACACCCACCTCAGCCTCCCAAAGTGCCGAGATGATTGATAGGTGTGAGTCATGGTACCTGGCCTACACAGCGATTTCTAATCCCTGCTGTGGGAGACGTTGTTTTAGTAATTGAGATAAATGGTGGTATGAGGGGGGAAAAATCTTGCTTTTCCAGTATAGAGAGTAGCTAGAAGTACTGGCTTTGTAATTAGAAAGAGTATGAGTTAAGGCCAATTATGTCTGTCACTTAATAACTCTTTTGACATTGGGCAAACTTTTAAACTCTTTGAGCCTTTTTCCTTTGTTGTGAAAGAGAGCTAATATGTACTTATCACTTAGATTTGTTAGAAAAGTAAATGAGGCCAGTTGTGGTGGCTCACACCTGTAATCCCAGCACTTTGGGAGGCCTAGGCGGGTGGATTGCCTGAGCTCAGAAGTTCAAGACCAGCCTGGCTAACATGGTAAAACCCTGTCTCTACTAAAAATACCAAAAAAAAAAAAATAGCTGGGCGTGGTAGCACATGCCTGTAGTCCCTGCTACTTGGGAGGCTAAGGCAGGAGAATTGCTTGGACCTGGGGAGGCAGAGGTTGCAGTGAGTGGAGATTGCACCACTGCATTCCAGACTGGGTGACAGAGCAAGACTCTGTCTCAAAAAAAAAAAGTAAATGAAAATGCGTAAAAATAGATAGCTCAAGGCATGTATATAGCAGCTATTATTTCACTACAGGTATGTGCTTCTGATCTGTAATTAGCTTCGATGTGTGTATATAGTTGTATTTTGCTAATTTGGAGGATTATCATCTATCTTTCAGGTCATGCAGAAGGCTTTTGTATGATGTGTACAATGCAAGCACATATTACCCAGGCACTCAGTAATCCTGGGGATGTTATTAAACCAATGTTTGTCATCAATGAGATGCGGCGTAAGTATTTACTATTGTAGTTTATATTCATATTTATTACCTAGTTATTTTTTATTTTTTGAGACAGAGTCTCGCTGTGCCGCCCAGGCTGGAGCATAGTCTTGCTGTCTCGGTTCACTGCAACCTCCACCTCCCAGTTTCACACGATTCTCCTGTCTCAGCTTCTCGAGTAGCTGGGATTATAAACGTGCTCCACCAGGCTCTTTTTAGTAGAGATGGAGTTTCTCCGTGTTGGTCAGGCTGATCTCGAACTCCTGACCTCAGGTGATCCACCTGCCTTGGCCTCTGAAAGTGCTGGGATTACGGGTATGAGCCACCACACCTGGCCTATTACCTAGTTATTCTTAATGTTCAACTGGTAAAAAAAAAAAACTGAACCCCTTGTGTGTAGAAAACAAATATATTTTTATCATATGTGGCTGGGTCTTCAATAACAAATTTTTAGTAAAACATTTGCTATATAAACACATTTTGAAACTAAAAGCAAAAGATGACAATATAATAAAGACTATTCAATTTAATATAACAAATTTTAAATTATTAAAAATCAGTATGTTAAAATCATTGGTAAGTTTTACAGTGTTTTTGCTCCAACACTTGGATTTCTATGCTGAGTAATACTAATTCTGATATTGTCTGGCAGGTTTTTGTAAACAGCTTTTAATTAGTTTCACTTTGGTGAATGAATATTATACTATACACAGTGACAGGAAATGGCAAAAATAAAGGTAATTAGGCTACTCTGGACGCACTGCCTGTGGATTAGCCAGCTCTGCAAGAAGCAGTAAAAATAAAATAAAATAAAATAAATAAATAAATAAGGTTAATTCTCTTTTTTCTTTTTCTTTTTTTTTTTAGTGAGACTGCGTCTCACTATGTTACCCAAGCTAGGCCTGAATTCCTGGCTCAGGTGATCCTCTTGCCCAGTTGAGTAACTGGGATTACAGATGTGTACCAGTAGGCCCTATTTAATTATAGTCTTCAAAGAATGTATACTCAGAGCTTAGCAAATTTGTGGATAAATTTAACTTTTTTGTAGTTAATTTTAAAATTTTAAATAGATAGGTGCATGAAATTTTTTTGCATACTTGTTGTGTGTTTTTGCAATAAACTTTTACATCATGTTAATTAACTGAGTTGGAATAAAAAATGCAAACCAACAAAGCTATAACTCTTCATCTGGTATCTAACTGAATAATTATAGGGATGCATAATTATACACTAACAAACTGTAATCTTTTTCCCTAGAAAGCCACTGAAAATTAAAGAGGTGTTATTGGCCCTTGGCATTACTGATAGACCACAACAGACAAGCCAAAAACCTTTGAAATATTATAGAAGCCTGGCAAAATTTAGCCAGGCAGGTTTGGATTGTTCATTCATTCATTCATTTGAGATGGAGTCTTGCTCTGTCGCCCAACCTGGAGTGCAGTGGCATGATCTCGGCTCACTGCAACCTTCACCTCTTGGGTTCAAGTGATTCTCCTGCCTCATGCTCCCGAGTAGCTGGGATTACAGGTGTGTACTACCACACCTGCCTAATTTTGTAGTTTTAGTAGAGGCAGGGTTTCACCATGTTGGCCAGGCTGGTCTTGAACTCCTGACCTCAGATGATCCATCGCCTCGGCCTCCCAGGCATAAGGTACCGCGCCTGGCTATTTATACATATATTTATTTTTTTAATTTTTATTTATTTTTTTGAGACAGAGTCTCACTCTGTTGCACAGGCTGGAGTGCAGTGGTGCCATCTTGGCTTACTGCAACCTCTGCCTGCTCGGTTTAAGCAATTCTCCTGCCTCAGCCTCCCGAGTAGCTAGGACTACAGGCACGTGCCACCACGCTGGCTAATATTTTGTATTTTCAGTAGAGACAGGATTTCACTGTGTTAGCCAGGATGTTCTCGATCCTCTGACCTTGTGATCTGCCTGCCTCCACCTCCCAGAGTGCTGAGATTACAGGTGTGAGCCACTATGCTTGACCACATATATTTATTTTTATACATACTTATATAGCAGGCATGAGTAACATTTTTAAACCTAGTCTTTTAAGAAAATGTCACTGTGCTGTATGTGTGTGCGTGTGTGTGTGTGTATACATCCAGTGATACACACATGGTTGAATCATGAAGTTGTCACTTGTAGGTCTAAACTGGTGGAGTGTTGGCAGTTTCATATGATTTAAGCTAGAACATATTTTTATACATTCATATGTAAAATTTAGTATGTATGTTTTATTGTGATATTGCCTGTACTTTTGTGTTAATTTTTAATTATAATTTAAAAAATAATTTGGTCTTGTAGCTGTTTAATTAGTTAGAAACAGGACTGAAATGTTACTGTGCACCTGCAGATATAATTTCTTCTGTGGGTCATTGGAATAGAGTTAGATAGGATGTGATATTTATGTTTTGAATGGATTCTCTTGTAGAGATCTAGCACCAATTTAAAATCACCAACATAACATTTTGGACAAACTTGAGACAAAACAGCCAGTTTATTCAAGTGTAACTTTATTAATTGCTAAAAACGTGAGTCACTCTGTAGCTACTCTCTGGACTCTCAGAAACTCTAGGCGCTGTGGACTTTTAATGGTCTAAAGCAGGGGCCCCTAACCCCTGGGCCGTGGACTGGTACCGGATGTGGCCTGTTAGGAACTGGGCCGCACAGCAGGAAGTGAGCAGTAGGTGAGCATTACTGCCTGAGCTCCGCCTCCTGTCAGATCAGTGGCAGCATTAGATTCTCATAGCAGCGCGAACCGTATTGTGAACTGCGCGTGCCTGGGATCTAGGTCACACGCTCCTTATGAGAATCTCATGCCTGATCTGAGCTGGAACAGTTTCATCCCAACCCCTACCTCTGTTCTGTGGAAAAATTGTCTTCCATGAAACTGGTCCCTGGTGCCGAAATGGTTGGGGATTCTGGTCTAAAGGGCATGATCCTGCTTATAGCTTTTATATTAGTGGCTTATGTTAGTGCTATTTCCTCATGATATAAGTATTTGGGAGTTTTCCAACCAACATATTATTATAAGATATATTTTGGGGGATACTGCTTAGGGTAATTATATGTAATGATAAAGCCTTGTCTTTACTGAAATTTTATAGGTATAGCTAGGCACTTCCGTTTTGGAAACCAAGAAGATGCCCATGAATTCCTTCAATATACTGTTGATGCTATGCAAAAAGCATGCTTGAATGGCAGCAATAAGTAAGTACAACAAAGCGCCAGTCGTTTCTTCATTTGGCATCTCTGGTTGTAACTTACCAGAATTCATTTTCACCTTTTTTGTTGGAAGCACATAGAACTTCGTTCATTTTACCTTTTGGCTTGCTCTGCCTCTTCCTCAGATGATAGGCATTATTTTTAAATGGTTGAAACTTATAGATGTATCTTACTATAACAGTTTGCATTTGCTCAATGACAGACGTCAGGAAATAAGCATTGGTCTTGCCCCTAGTTAATTTTTGGTTATCAGCAGATGTCTGCACATCTCACACTAGCTGCTGCTTCTCCTTTCTAGTTGTGTCTGATGTTTTCTTTTCTCTGCTGCCCTCCAGCGTGTATTTATTTCCTGAACCCCCACCCCAGCCAGTTACTGATTTCTGCAGCTTGTTCCTTAAAATGTAAATGCAGAGTTGAGGAAGAATGAGGGGACAGTTAAATAATGCATCCTAAGCCACTTGATGCTGTCTGAGTACACCTGGTAGCTCTCCCTCTGTGTTCTCCCTGTCCTGGCACCCCCCTGTCTAGGCCTTCAACGTCTGGGTGGTGACAGACTCGGATCAGAGGAAGACCCTGCCTTTTCTGCCTCAGCTGCCTTTCCTCCCGCCCAGGCTGCGGCACCCCTAGGTTGCCTTCTTCCTGCCTCACAACCAGACTCCTGCTTTGCTTCCTGAGTCCCTTCCTGACAGACACAGTTCCCACAGCTCTGCCTCTCCTCCCACTGCTCCCAGACCTCCCTGTGTTCTGGCCAGGCAAGGCTGCTCTTGGGCTGCCACACATGTGTCCTTTTATTTTCTGTGGCTGTCCTGTTTGAATTCTTGCTCTTTTGTAAGCTGATGTGTTTGAAATCTGGTCACAGCATCTGCAGTTTTTGCAAAACTCTTCTCTCATGTCACTGTTTGATGTTTTTCAGATTAGACAGACACACCCAGGCCACCACTCTTGTTTGTCAGATATTTGGAGGATACCTAAGATCTAGAGGTAAGCTTTTGCTTATAAGTTGATAAAATGATACACTCATGCGGTTAAAAAATGCTAATAGCAGGACAGGGTTAATAAGGGAAAGTACTTCTCTCCAGCCCAGATTCTCATTCCTTTTACCCATAGGCAACCCCAGTGCCAGGTTGTAGTAAATCCTTCTGGTAGTTTCCTATGTGTGAACAAACTGGGAGCATACTGTGTGCACTGCTTCCATTTGTCTCTTCATATTAGTCTTTTCACATTTCAGCACACAGAGGTCTAACAGAGCCTTCGACAGTTGCATTAGTGTCTGTTTATTTCGTCCCCAGTTAGGTTGTTTCAGGTTTGTTGTTGTTGTTACCATCTGTGCTTCATTGAGCATCCATGCACACATGCTTTTTGTCTGGGTAAAAGTGTATATATAGGATCAATTCTTAGTATTAGAATTTCTGGGTCACAGCATGTGTGTATTGTAAATTTTAATACTGTCAGGTTGTCCTTCTTAGAGGTTATATCAGTTTTGATTCAAACCCATGAGGGCCCAAATTCATGACACTTTTCACCCGCATTATGAGTAGTATTAATTTAAAAAATTTTTTGTTCAATTGATAGAAAAATTACAGTTAAAAATTTTAAATTTCAAATTGTATTTTGTCATTTCAATAGTTGATGTTGCTGTAATGATTACACTTATCTTTTGCATTTTGTTTTTATTTCAGTCAAATGTTTAAATTGCAAGGGCGTTTCAGATACTTTTGATCCGTATCTTGATATAACATTGGAGATAAAGGTAAATTTCATAATTATGGGAGTAATTACATTTTTAAAATAAGCCATTTTATATAACTGTGTAGATCATTTATAATTTAGACTACTTGTTAGAGAATATAAATTGAATAATTCAGTGTGCTAAGATTTCATTTGGAGGGATTATTCAAGTTTTGTAGTAAGTATCGTAAAAAAAGCTTCTAAAAGTCTTTTATTACCCTTTGAATTTTCTTTCTTCCTTTTTTTTTTTTTTCCTTTTTGAGATGGAATCTCACTCTGTTTCCCAGGCCTGGAGCACAGTGATCTCAGCTCACTGCAACCTTTGCCTCCCGGGTTCAAGTGATTCTTCTGCCTCAGCCTCCTGAGTAGCTGGGACTCTACAGGCATGCACCACCATGCCTGGCAAATTTTTGTATTTTTAGTAGAGACGGGGTTTCACCATATTGGCCAGGGTCTCAAACTCCTGACCTCATGATCCACCTGCCTCAGCCTCCCAAAGTGTTGGGATTACAGGCGTGAGCCACTGCACCTGGCCTGAATTTTTCTTTAATATCTTAATAAAACCAGATTTTCATGTCTAAGTCAAATATAGATGGTTATTCTTTAGAAAACTGTTTTGCTTCTTGCATTTTCCTTTTTTTTTTTTTTTTTTTGAGACAGGGTCTCACTCTGTGCCCAGGCTGGAGTGCATTGGTGTAATCTCACTGTAGCCTCAATCTCCCAGATTTTAATGATCCTTCTACCTCAGCCTCCCCGGTAGCTGAGACCATAGGCATGCACCACCATGCCCAGCTAATGTTTATATTTTTAGTAGAGACGGGGTTTCACGATGTTGCCCAGGTTGGTCTCAAACTCCTGAGCTCAAGTGATCTTCCAGCCTCAACCTCCCAAAGTGCTGGGATTATAGGTGTGAGCCACTGCGCCCAGCCTGCCTCTTAGATTTTCAGAATTCCTATTTTTTGTCGTTCTTGAGCTTGCATTTTACTGATTATAGATGTAATACATGCTTATAATAAAAATGAATAACATTGGAGACATATGTAAAATGCTGCCCCTCAGAATGAATTCTTTATAACAGTTCGATATGTACCGCTCCAGAATATATTGTTTACCTTTTACACAAGTGGGATTGTGTCTGATGTCTGGCCACTCACTGCTTGCATATAATTCTGTTGGAGACCTTTCTGTGTGAATGTGTTCTCTGGGCAGTGTGTGGTGCAGTGAATGGATGGACTGGGATTCCTATGCTGAATTCCTTACTGGTAGATATTTGGTTTGCTTCCAGTTTCGTGCTGTTTTAAGTAATGCTGCAGTGAGCATCCTCAATATATTTTGTTCACTTTAATCTGCCCATTTTAATGAAAGGGGATATAATTTGGTGTGTAGATGCATGAAAGTGAACATCATACTACTAAAGGAAAACTTTTTCATAAAGATTCTCATTTGTTTTTGTATCTTTGAGTCTTCCATTCTTGCTTTTAAAAAATAAGTGGCACGGCTGGGCATGGTGGCTCACACCTGTAATTCTAACATTTTGGGAGGTCAAGGTGGGAGGATCGCTTGAGCCCAGGAGTTTGGGACCAGCCTAGGGAATACAGTGAGACCCCTGTCTCTACAAAAAACTGAAAAAATTAGCTGAGCATGGTGGCCATGCCTGTGGTCTGAGCTGCTCATGCCATGGTCTGAGGCTGAAGTGGGAGGATTGCTTGAGCCCAGGAGGTCAAGACTGCAATGAGCTGTGACTGTGGCACTGCACTCCAGCCTGGGCAGCAGAGCGAGACCCAAACACAAGTGGCAGTGTATGATGATGTGGTATTTGTGCCTCTTCTTTTCCCAGGCTGCTCAGAGTGTTAACAAGGCATTGGAGCAGTTTGTGAAGCCGGAACAGCTTGATGGAGAAAACTCATACAAGTGCAGCAAGTATGTTGGGTGGTGACTTGATTCTTGCTGTTGGCTCTTATAGTGGGGACAGCCGGCAGGCTTTGTTTGAGAGCATTTGGTGTGTCTGAAAGCCCCCTCTAGGTTGCTTGAGTTTCTGATACTCTTGGGGAAGACACTGGGTCCCTGTTACCCAAGGACCAGAGCCTGCAGTGTCTCGGTGTGTGCATTTCTCTAAGACACGCAGCTCTGTGCCCGTCAAAGCCTGGGGCATAACATTATTGGGCAGATTTGGATGGGAGGAGAGAGGTAAAATTATCTTTGTATCCCGTGGCAGTGCTGCTTCCGGTGTGGCTGGGCACCCCCCATCTGCTGAATAGCATTCTCATTGACTTTCTTATGATAAGAGGGCTGATGTTGGTAGAGAGTCACTTTCTTCTGGGATAGCTAGGATCCTTCTCGCTTAGGGTGGGCACCCAGGGCTTGGAATAGCATTTGCCTGAAAACTCTAATTTTGATTATTCAAACTAATATGTTCCCCTGTGAAGTCAAGAGTACCTATTTTAAGAAAACTCATGCCTGTAATCCTAGCACTTTGGGAGGCCAAGGTGGGTGGATCATGGGTCGGGAGTTCAAGACCAGCCTGACCAAAATGGTAAAACCCCGTCTCTACTGAAAATACAAAAATTAGCCAAGCATGGTGGCACATGCCTGTAATCCCAGCTACTCAGGAGGCTGAGGCAGGAGAACCACTTGAACCCAGGAGGCAGAGGTTGCAATGAGCCGAGATCGTGCCACTGCACTCCATCCTGGGTGAGAGAGACTCTGTCTCAAAAAAAAAAGCTCTTTTATATGCTGTTAAGTAGATTTCCATGTTGTAGTCAGGTAATATGGGTAACTTTTTAATTATCAAATCTTCAAGACCAGAGGGATTTTGCTTTTGTTTTAAATTCCACAGACATTTCTAATCTTTATTTTTGCTCCTTTTATTTCTGATTAGGGCTTTCTTTTCACATAATAATAATAATTATTTTTTGAGATGGAGTCTTGCTCTGTCGTCCAGGCTGGAGTGTGGTGGCGCGATCTGAGCTCACTGCAACCTCCGCCTGCTGGGCTCAAGTGATTCTCCTGCCTCAGCTTCCTGAGTAGCTAGGACTGCAGGCGTGTGCCACCACACCCAGCTAATTTTTGTATTTTTAGTAGAGATGGGGTTTCACCATGTTGGCCAGGATGGTCTCGATCTCTTGACCTTTTGATCCACCTGCCTCGGCCTCCCAAAGTTGTTGGGATTACAGGCATGAGCCACTGTGCCCAGTGAATTCTTATTTTTAAATCAGATGAATTTAAGACTTACTTTTTCGGCTGGGCACAAACATGTTGAAACCCCATCTCTACTAAAAAATACAAAAAAATGGCCGGGCGTGGTGGCTCACGCCTGTAATCCCAGCACTTTGGGAGGCCGAGGCGGGTGGATCATGAGGTCAAGAGATCAAGACCATCCTGGTCAACACGGTGAAACCCCGTCTCTACTAAAAATACAAAAAATTAGCTGGGCATGGTGGCGCATGCCTGTAATCCCAGCTACTCGGGAGGCTGAGACAGGAGAATTGCCTGAACCCAGGAGGCGGAGGTTGCGGTGAGCCGAGATCGCGCCATTGCACTCCAGCCTGGGTAACAAGAGCGAAACTCTGTCCCAAAAAAAAAAAAAAAATTAGCTTGGGTGGTGGTGCACGCCTATAGTCCCAGCTACTCAGGAGGCTGAGGCAGGAGAATAGCTTGAACCCAGGAGGCGGAGATTGCAGTGAGCTGAGATGGCACCACTGCACTACAGCCTGGGTGACAGTGCAAGACTCCGTTTAAAAAAAAAAATTCTTTTCACATAATTATACCAGTCTGAACATGTTCGTTTTTCAGTTTCTTTTGAATTGAGAGAAACTTATGTTAACCTAATTTTAACATTATTGGTGGCCTGTATGGCTTGGTTTTTCAGAATTGTCCTATCTTTCTTTCCTTTCATGCTAATTAAGCAGTTTCCGTGTGTGTGTGTGTGTGTGTGTGTGTGTAATTTATTTATTTATTTTTTTTGGAGACGGGGTTTCACTCTTGTTACCCAGGCTGGAGTGCAATGGTGCGATCTTGGCTAACCGCAACCTCCACCTCCTGGATTCAAGCAATTCTTCTGCCTTAGCCTCCCGAGTAGCTGGGACTACAGGCGCGTGCCACCACGCCCAGCTAATTTTTGTATTTTTAGTAGAGACGCGGTTTCACCATGTTGACCAGGATGGTCTCAATCTCTTGACCTCGTTATCCACCGGCCTCGGCCTCCCAAAGTGCTGGGATTATAGGCGTGAGCCGCTGAGCCCAGCCCCCCCCTGTATTTTTAATGTTAATATTTTCACTGTTGGTTGAAGGCTGGTGGTTCTCATCCAGTGTCCTTTTTGGAACCTTAATGTAAAATGTTTAGAATTATAACAAGAAAGACCAAAATATCAAAAATTGTGTATATATATTCATCTTCTTAAACTTTTGTTTTCTGTTTATTTCAAGGTGTAAAAAGATGGTTCCAGCTTCAAAGAGGTTCACTATCCATAGATCCTCTAATGTTCTTACACTTTCTCTGAAACGTTTTGCAAATTTTACTGGTGGAAAAATTGCTAAGGTATGTAGATGATGTCATTAATCATCTTTTATGTGGAGCCTTTCAAGGCTTACGTGTCCAGAGCTATTAAGGATTCTAAATAACCTGGTTGAACAACTTTGGTGACCAGTTTTCTAAGTTCTGTCAGCATTTGGTTGTGGAAAAAATAGGTCAGAGCATGGAGGCAGTGGTTCTATGTGTGTGCTTACGAGGGTGGGCCCTGCAGCACACTGGACTTCCTAATGACAAAATTGGTAACTGTTACCTCCATTTGGGCTTCCTTATCAGTTTTGTTGGTATCCATGGTTATGGAGGGATATAGGGAGAGCCTGTATAATCTGAAATCCAAAGAGGACTTCCTGCTAGACTTTGGACAGGAAGTCAGGAGTTCGAGACCAGCCTGGCCAACATAGTGAAACCCCTGTCTACTAAAAATACAAAAATTATCCTGGTGTCGTGGCACACCTGTAATCCCAGCTACTCAGGAGGCTGAGGCAGGAGAATGGCCTGAACCAGGAGGTGGAGGTTGCAGTGAGCGGAGATTGCGCCATTGCCCTCCAGCCTGGGCAATAGAGTGAGACCCCATCTCAAAAAAAAAAAAAAAAAAAAAAAGGTGGCTGAGTGCATTAGGTTTTTGCTAGAACATCACAAGGTGCAAGTGTTCTGTGGGTCTCCCCACCTAGGAAGTCCTAAACCCTCTCCCTGAATGTGTGGAATGATCTGTGCCCTCAGAAATGTTTCTCATTTTTCCGTTTCTGTGTAGGATGTGAAATACCCTGAGTATCTTGACATTCGGCCATATATGTCTCAGCCCAACGGAGAGCCGATTGTCTACGTCTTGTATGCAGTGCTGGTCCACACTGGTTTTAATTGCCACGCTGGCCATTACTTCTGCTACATAAAAGTAAGCTGTGCAGATTTGCTAATGACTATTGTTACATACATGCTGGAAGACAGCACTAGCATTCTTGGAGGGGGGAGAGATGGAACTTTTACAGTTAAAATGTGAATACCCGTTGTAATAGTATCTTGGCTGGGCACGGTGGCTTACACCTGTAATCCCTGCACTTTGGGAGACTCAGGCAGGTGGATCACTTGAGGTCAGGAGTTCAAGACCAGCCTGGCCAACATAGTGAAACCCCCTCTTTACTAAAAATAAAAAAAATTAGCTGGGTGTGGTGGTGTGTGCCAGCAATCCCAGCTGCTCCAGAGGCTGTGGCAGAAGAATTGCTTGAATCGGGAGGTGGAGGTTGCAAGATCATGAGACTGCACTCCAGTCTGGGTGACAGAGTGAGACTCCATTGCAAAAAAAAATACAATTCTCTTGACTCTGTTTCACGTTTAATTAAATCTAATCTCCCCTTTTTACTGGCTCTCATTTACAGGCTAGCAATGGCCTCTGGTATCAAATGAATGACTCCATTGTATCTACCAGTGATATCAGATCGGTACTCAGCCAGCAAGCCTATGTGCTCTTTTATATCAGGTATTGTCATGAAAACAAATTGTCAAATTTCTTGGTATGTCATTTCTTTTCTTCTTATCAACATATTTAAATTCAGTATTCAGTGTATTTTTTTTTTTTTTAAACCCAGCAGCTTAAAGATCAACTCTGGCCTGGCATGGTGCCTCATGCCTATAATCCTAGCACTTTGGTCAGCTGAGATGGGAGGATCACTTGAGCCCAGGAGTTCAAGACAGAACAGCCTGGGCAACATAGTGAGACCACAACTCTATAGAATACAAAAAAATTAGCTAGCCGTGGTGTTTTGAGCCTGTGGTCTCTCATCTGCTTGGGAAGTTGAGATTAGAGGATCACTTGAGCCTGGGGAGGTTGAGGCTGGAGTAAGCCATGATTGAGCCACTACATTCCAGCCTGGGTGACAGAGCAAGACCCTGTCTCAAAAAAACAAACCAGCAAAAACCATCAGCTCTGCTGTGTGCCTGGAGAGTACGGAAGGTAGTGTCTGAGTGTGATGATGAGTTTGCTCCACATCCCACTCTATGGCCAAGAGCACTGAAGGTGCAGCTGCAGGGAGAGGTGGTAGCTGAGCCAGGTGGGCTTCTGCTGCGGGCAGCAATGGAGTGGGCCAGGAACCACAGGACAGTGAGTAGAGACCTCGGGAAGGGGCCTCTGAGCACCTGGCGTGGTCACAGCCAGCACCTCCCAATCGTGGAGCACAGGTCAATCATCGCCTTCCAGGCCAAAGCTAGTGCCCACACCCAGCTCTGTCCTGTTGTGGCTGTATACTCTTTTGACTCTCACATTCCATTTTTGGAAAAATTTTTGATCGTGGAAAATTAAGAGTATCCTAAAATGTCTTAACTGGCAGAATGCTCATGTCTGCATGTTGAAATAGTAAACACTGGCATTGTATTTCAGCAGTTGGGCTGAAGCACAGATGATGATCAGAGGAGGCCTCTGAGGCCAAGATAAGGGGTAGGGTTTTGTTTCTCACTTTTTTGGACACTATAGACTTTCTAGAGTGGCATATATTTATAATTAGAAAAATATAAGCCTGGGCAACAAAGCAAGACCCCATCTCTACAAAAAATGAAAAAGCCAGGACTGGTGGTGCATGTCTGTGGTCCCAGCTACTCAGGAGGCTGAGGCCGGAGGGCGAGGCCACAGTGAGTGATGACTGTTCCACTGCACTCCAGCCTGGGCAACAGAGCAAGACCCTGCCTCAAGAAAAGAAAAATATAAGCAACAGAAAAGAAACACCTTTCAGATAAAACAGCACTTCAGAACACACGGTTTTAAAAATGTCATTTACCTAATTATCCTTGTTTCCTGATCTGAGTGCCTGACATCAATGTAAAGGAGAGGATGCCTGTAGCTCTGTACCGTGTAGCATAAACATGCTGTTTTTTCCATCAGTTTTCTGCCTGAAGGGTTAAATGCTGTTCAATCTGTGAATGAATCTCTCCTAAGGAGGTATCTTGTGTCACTGTAAGTATCACTCTCCTTGCTCCAGGTCCCATGATGTGAAAAATGGAGGTGAACTTACTCATTCCACCCACAGCCCCGGCCAGTCCTCTCCCCGCCCCGTCATCAGTCAGCGGGTTATCACCAACAAACAGACTGCACCAGGGTTTATTGGACCACAGCTTCCCTCTCACATGATAAAGGTAACAGTCCATAGGGAAAATAAAATTTTTATGTCAATTTAAAAAATGTAACTTCAAACACTCAAGTTACAGTTGTAGTGGTTGCTGTGTCCCCATATACATCTGAATTTCTTCTCACTATATAATCAAACCCTCAGTTATACAAATATTTAAAATATACAGAACATGGCCGGGCACAGTGGCTCACGCTTGTAATCCCAGCACTTTGGGAGGCCAAGACAGGTGGATCACTTGAGCTCAGGAGTTTGAGACCAGCCTGGGCTACAGGATGAAACCCTGTCTCTACAAAAAATACAAAAATCAGCCAGGTGTGATGGCATGTGCTATGGTCCTAGCTGCTCAGGAGGCTGAGGTGGGAGGATCGCTTGAATCCAGGAGGCAGAGATTGCAGTGAGCTGAGATTGCCGTGTGCTTTATTTTATGGACATCAGGCAGTTTTTGAGGTATGACAGAGTCACACATCAAATATCCAACAGGCTCCCATTGGGCTCTGCTCCAGAGTGACATCAGGGCTCCGGCAAACAGTAGGACATGTGCCCTGTAGGGAAAGGTAGTTGGCATTGCTTTTCCAAAGACTGTTTTTGTTTTTATGGCGAAGCTTTCCAGTGTTAAGATAGCAGCTAATTTGGGTATCTGAGAAGGCCATGTGAAGGCCACGCATGATCTATTAACCATGTTTCAGGCCTGCGCCTCCATGGGGATGCAGCAGCCATGGTGGGAACCTGCAGTGAATGTGTTACTGCATGAGGAGAATTTGGAGATATCGAGGGGGTGGGGGTCATGGCTGAGTGAGCAGCACCTGAAGCAGCCCCTACTCTATGCCCACGTGACCGTCTCCTTTGCTCTGAGGCAAGGGTGATTCCTCCTTCCTGGCACTCTGTGCAGTGGTGAGCTCCCAGGAAACGCAACCAGGGAGCAAGTGTATGACTCCATGCCACAGGGCCTGCTGATTTCTATCTGATCTGGAACAGAGAGAATTTGGTCTGAGGATTGTATTCTGTGAAACATGTATGTCCTATTTGTTGACTGATTGTCAGAAAAGTAGGGCCTGTGCAGAGTATGCATGGGTAGGAGGGATTGAAAAGAACAGAGAACATTTCTAGATGCGTGAAACTTGTTAGTCCTGAAAAAGCAAAATGGGAAGGACCCATCAGCCACAATGGGTTCTGTTTCTGTGACCGTGTTTCCAGAGCTCTGACCCAGCTGTGCTTTTCTTACTTCCAGAATCCACCTCACTTAAATGGGACTGGACCATTGAAAGACACACCAGGCAGTTCCATTTCGAGTCCTAATGGGAATTCCAGTGTCAACAGGGCAAGTCCTGTTCATGCTTCAGCTTCTGTCCAAAACTGGTCAGTTAACAGGTCCTCAGTGATCCCAGAACATCCTAAGAAACAAAAAATTACAATCAGTATTCACAACAAGTTGCCTGTTCGCCAAGGTCAGTCTCAGCCTAACCTTCATAGCAATTCTTTGGAGAACCCTACCAAGCCCGTTCCCTCTTCTACCATTACCAATTCTGCAGTACAGTCTACCTCGAACGCATCTATGATGTCAGTTTCTAGTAAAGTAACAAAACCGATCCCCTGCAGTGAATCCTGCCCCCAGCCCGTGATGAATGGCAAATCCAAGCTGAACTCCAGCGTGCTGGTCCCCTATGGCGCCGAGTCCTCTGAGGACTCTGACGAGGAGTCAAAGGGGCTGGGCAAGGAGAATGGGATTGGTACGATTGCAAGCTCTCACTGTCCCGGCCAAGATGCCGAAGATGAGGAGACCACTCCGCATGAGCTCCAAGAACCCATGATCCTAAATGGTGCTAATAGTGCAGACAGCGACAGTGACTTGAAAGAAAACGGCCTGCCACCTGATGGTGCCAGCTGCCAAAGCCAGCCTGCCCTGCACTCAGAAAATCCCTTTGCTAAGGCAAATGGTCTTCCTGGAAAGGTGAGCATGCACCAGGGTCTTAGCCTCGATCATGGCGGTTCCCTTGGCTGGATTTCAGGAGGCATGGAGCTGGCACCTGAGGCTGAAATATTTTTGTTTTTATTGCAGTTGATACCTGCTCCTTTGCCATCTCTCCCAGAAGACAAAATCTTAGAGACCTTCAAGCTTAGCAACAAAGTGAAAGGCTCCACAGATGAAACGAGGTAAGGCAAGAATAAATTAGAAGCACTTGTGGCTGCATAGTAGGAAATCCAGTCGAGCCCATAGATGTGTCAGTATTTTAACACTGTAGAAGTTTTATAATGAAAATTTTGAATCCTAGAATGATTTGAATTATAATGTATAGGATTTATTAACTTGTCTTTTAGAAGAGTAAAGAAAAAGTGTAGCATATAGGACCAAGTCCATGGAAACTTGATGTGCTCACAGTGCCATTGATCCTCCTGCGTAGCCGCCTCTCTCTGGTTAGCAGTGTTATTGGCACACTTTCAAGCGCCATCTCATTTCATCTTTTCATGAGGAATGATCGTGTGAGGTGTGCTGAGGTTCTAGGGCAGGGCTCTCAGTTCTGCCAAGTAGCGGATACAGTCCTCCCTCCGTTAACAACAGGGACGCTGAGAAATGTGTCATTTGGTGATTTTGTTGTCATGCCAACACCACAGAGTGTCACACAAAGCTAGAGGGTGTGGCCTGCCGCTCCTAGGCCACAAATTGCACAGACTGTGACAGCACTGGATACTGTAGGCGACTGTAACAGTGGTAAGTATCTGTGTCTAAACACACCTACACATAGAAGAGGGACAGTAAAAATATGGCACTGGCACACCTGCAGAGGGCACTTCCATGAATGGAGCTGGCAGGACTAGAGGGTGCTGTGAGTGAGCCAGTGAGAGGCGAGTGAATGTGAAGGCCTAGGACACGACACTCCTGTAGACTCTAAACACAGCACTAAGCTACACTCCATTGTTTAAAAATTTTATTTCTCCAGTAGTAAACACAGCTTACTGTAACTTTTTACTTTATAAACTTCTAATTTTTAACTTTTTGACTCTTTTGTAATAATACTTAGCTTAAAACACAAACATTATACAGCTGTACAAAAATAAGTTCTTTTTTTTTTTTTTTTGAGATGGAGTTTCGCTCTTGTTACCCAGGCTGGAGTGCAATGGCGCGATCTCGGCTCACCGCAACCTCCGCCTCCTGGGTTCAAGCAATTCTCCTGACTCAGCCTCCTGAGTAGCTGGGACTACAGGCACGCGCCACCATGCCCAGCTAATTTTTTGTAGTTTTAGTAGAGACGGGGTTTCACCATATTGACCAGGATGGTCTCGATCTCTTGACCTCGTGATCCACCCGCCTCAGCCTCCCAAAGTGCTGGGATTACAGGCTTGAGCCACCGCGCCCGGCCAAAAATAAGTTCTTTATATCCATATTGATAAGCTTTTCTGTACTTTTAAATTTTTTAACTTTTATGTGGCCGGGCGCGGTGGCTCAAGCCTGTAATCCCAGCACTTTGGGAGGCCGAGGCGGGTGGATCACGAGGTCAAGAGATCGAGACCATCCTGGTCTACATGGTGAAACCCCGTCTCTACTAAAAATACAAAAAAATTAGCTGGGCATGGTGGTGCGTGCCTGTAATCCCAGCTACTCAGGAGGCTGAGGCAGGAGAATTGCCTGAACCCAGGAGGCGGAGGTTGCGGTGAGCCGAGATCGCACCATTGCACTCCAGCCTGGGTAACAAGAGCGAAACTCCGTCCCAAAGAAAAAGGAAAAAAAAAAAAAAAAAAAAAAGAAAACAATAAGTAACTTTTATGTTAAAAATGAAGACACAAACACACACACTGGGCTAGGGTCACAGGGTCAGTGTCATCCGTACCACTGACTTCCACCTCCACATCCTGCTCCACGGAAGGTCTCAAGGGCAGAACACTCGTGGAGCTATCATCTCCTGTGACAAGAGTGCCGCCTTCTGGAGACCTCCTGAAGAACCTGCCTGAGGCTGTTTTACAGTTACCTTATATCTTGTAAGAAAGAGCACACTCTGAAATAATCATAAAAAGTACAGTTGGTAAATACATAAACCAGTAACAATCATTTTTTTGTTTTTGTTTTTGCAGTGGAGTCTCCCTCTGTCGCCCAGGCTGGCATGCAGTGATGCAATCTCTTTCCACTGCAGCCTCCGCCTCCCGAGTTCAAGCAATTTTCCTGACCCAGCCTCCTGAGTAGTTAGGACTATAGGCATACACCACCATACCCAGCTACTTTTTTTTTTGTACTTTTAGTAGAGATGGGGTTTCACCATGTGAACTCCTGTCAGGCTGGTCTCAAACTCCTGACCTCAAATCATTTGCACGCCTTGGCCTCCCAAAGTGCTAGGATTACAGGCGTGAGCCATGGCGCCTGGCCAACAGTTGTTCATTATCATTACCATGTATTATATACTAATTGTATGCGCTATACTTCTATGGGACTGGCAGTGCCGTGGGTTTGTTCATACTGGCACCACCACATTCAGTCATGTGCTGCCCCAGGCTGTCAGAACAATTACGGGGACAGGGATTTTTCCACCTGCTGTCATCCGATGGACCACCGTCACATGTGGTCCATTGTTGCCCGCATGTATGAGGCATGTGACTGTTCTTTGTAATGGCCCCTCGAGGATGCTGAAATTATAGATGATAAAACCTCCCCCATCATTAAAAAAAATCATTATAGTAACCTAAATGTAATTCTAGTCAAGAATAAGAGGAAAGGAATTTGTCATGCAGTGACAGTGGCTTTGCTATGCAAAGAACCAGGCAGGATGGTCCTGCGGCGAGAGGCTGTGGCGCGGGCGGTGCTCGCATCTGTGCGCAGGTTGGCTGTGAGCGATGGCTTAGAGCATGGCCGGATGCCGGCATGCTTGGTGCCAGGTGCAGGTTCGCCATCAGGAAGTCATGTTCTCACGGTGAACAATTTCTGGTGAAGTTCTGATCAAATCACGGCATGACTATCTCTAGATTTATATACTAGTTGCATTCCTGGAAACTTCAGTGTCTGTGAAAAACGTGCCAGTAACACACTGTGCTTTTACCTGCATGGTCGTTGGCACTCACTTACCTGTGGGGTTGCCTGTTGTGCTGGTGGGGCTCCCATCACTGTGGCAACTCCAGAATGGCCCCTTGCAGGGGAGTGCCCTCACCGAAGCCCTCTGTTAGGAGGGCTTAGATACTAAAATCAATGTGGTGAACCCTGCAGGCAGGGAACACTCATTCCCAACCTAAGAATAGGCTAGCTCAGACACTCACTCCCTCGACCAGGGGACTCTCACCTTTCGTAGGCCAGGTAGCGTGAGGATGAGGCAGGTGGCTGTGCAGACAAGCCCAAGCCACGGCAGCTTTCATTAATCTTGAGGATATAACGAAAGCTGTGCGGGAATCAAAGGACAGAGTTAATTTACTACAGAAAGTGTTTCTAAAGCCTCAGTGATGCCTCACAATTTGTCAGTAATTGGAGGAGCTGCTATCTCTGTTTGGAGGTAGCTGCTCTACCTTTGAGGCTCTAAGACAAATCAGAGAAAGGGAGTCCAGAGGAAAAGGAGGCCCCGTCATTACTGGACGTTTTTCTTTAGACTTAGTTATTAGGAAGAACTAGAGGAATTGCGGCCGGTGGCCCACACCTATAATCCCAGCACTTTGGGAGGCTGAGGCGGGTGGATCACCTGAGGTCAGGAGTTCAAGACCAGCCTGGCCAGAGTATCGTGAAACCCCATCTCTACTAAAAAATACAAAAATTAGCCAGGCATGGTGGTGGACCCCTGTAATCCCAGCTACTTGGTTGGGAAGCTGGGTCAGGAGAATTGCTTGAACCTGGGAGCTGCAGGTTGCAGGGAGCTGAGATTGCGCCACTGCACTTCAGCCCGGGCAACAGAATGAGACTCTTGTCTCTTAAAAATAAAAAAAACACTAGAGAACTTAGAAGAACTAGAGGATTATCTGGAAACAGGAAGAGCCTAGAACTGCAGGATAATTGTTGTGAAAAATAGGCTAGGAGCTGGGCTTGATGATACAACATTTTTATTTCGTAAGAGAAAGAGAAAATAGGGAGTTTCCAGAGATGATAGGCCTAATATTGGGCTTCAGCCAGATATATTTAAAGATATGAAATAGTGAACATTTTGAAGTATTTGTCCCTGTAATGCAGTGATAGGAGCCTGTCAAATCACCACACTAATGGTGTGTGTGTGTGTTTGGGGTCCACAGTGCACCTGGAGCAGAGAGGGGCCCTTCCGAGGACTGCATCGCAGAGCCCCAGCCCGGCAGCCCCGCCGCAGAGTCCCTGGAGGAGCCGGACCTGGCCGCCAGCCTCAGCAGCACCAAGGTTCCACCGCCCCCTGACCCTGGGACCCCCGCTACCAAAGAAGGCACCTGGGAGGCCATGGCCGCCGCCCCCGAGGAGCCTCCGCCCAGCGCCGGCCAGGACATAATCACAGGGGATACCATGCCCCCTGACCTGTGTGACCCCGGGAGCTTAACAGGCGACCGAAGCCCGCCGTCCCAGGACACGGGGATGATCGTGGAGGGTCCGCGAGACTCGATATCAGCGGAAGCCCAGGAGGCGTTAAACCCGGCTCCACCCATGGGGTCGGAGGAGTCCCACCAGCAGCCGCTTCTGGTTCACCCCAGCAGGGACCACACCCGGGATGCTCAGGATCCGCCCCAGAGCTCCGGGGCGCCTGAGGCCTCAGAGGGGCCGCCAGCTCCAGCACTGGAGGCGGCCCCGCCCGGTAACCCAGTGGGGGACCCTGAGCCTAGCCCTGGGGAGAAGGGAGAGGACGCTGCGGTGGGGCCGAAAGCCCCAGGCCCTTCCTCGGCGAAGGAAAAAATCGGCAGCCTCCGAAAGGTGGACCGAGGCCACTACCGCAGCCGGAGGGAGCGCTCGTCCAGCGGGGAGCCCGCCAGGGAGAGCAGGAGCAAGACCGAGGGCCAGGGCCACCGCCACCGGCGGCACCGCACCTGCGCCCGGGAACGCGACCGCCAGGACCGCCATGCCTCGGAGCACCACCCTGGCCACGGCGACAGGCTCAGCCCCGGCGAGCGCCGCTCCCTGGGCAGGTACGGCCACCACCACTCCCGACACCGCAGCGGGGCTGAGCCGGACTGGAGCCGACACCACTACGCCGAGGGCGAGCACAGCTGGGGCCGGGAGAAGTTCTACCCCGACAGGCCGCGCTGGGACAGGTGCCGGTACTACCACGACAGGTACGCCCCATACGCCGCCCGGGACTGGAAGCCCTTCCACAGCGGCCGTGAGCACGAGCGAGCCGGGGTGCACGAGCGGCCACACAAGGACCACTACCGGGGCCGCAGGGGCTGTGAGCCGGCCCGGCAGAGGGAGCGGCACCGCCCAGGCAGCCCCCGCACAGGCGCACCCCATGCCCCTACCCCGCACCCCGACCACTTTTCCCACGACAGAACTGCGCTTGTATCAGAAGACAACTGTAACCTCTCTGATCGGTTTCATGAACACGAAAGTGGAAAGTCACGAAAACGGAGATACAACAGTCTGGAAAACAGTGACAGTCATGTCGAAAAGAAATCCCAGAGGAGCGAACAGAAGGATCTTCTAGAAGAGCCTAAAGTGAAGAAGCACAAAAAATCAAAGAAGAAAAAGAAATCCAAAGACAAACACCGAGACCGCGACTCCAGGTGAGGCTGGGGCCTCATGCTCGCCCGGAGACGCTGTCAGCTCTGGGGCCTGGCCCTTCTCACCCAACTCAGGAACAAGGGACCTGCCAGGCCACCATTATATCCGTTTGATTTGTGTCTTTGATCTCTAGGTTTTGAGATTTCACTGTTTTTACAGATTTGTAAAAATTTGCTCTGCTTTGAAGCTCTTTCTTAATTTGATGATGTCGTTAAATGCCTGACAACCACCTTTTTCAAAATGATAGTGCCATTGTAGGTGAATGCTTCATAACTCTTCCAGGAGTAAGCATGCAATGTCCCATAAATGAAAAATCAGGAGTCTCTGACTTAGAATTGGTGTTTTTCCCCCCTCAACACGGAGTCTCACTCTTCTCACCCAGGCTGGAGTGTAGTGGCGTGGTCTGAGTTCCCTGTAACCTCCACCTCCCAGGTTCAGGCAATTCTCCTGCCTCAGCCTCCTGAGTAGCTGGGATTACAGGCACCTGCCACCACACCCAGATAATTTTTGTATTTTTAGTAGAGACGGAGTTTCACCACATTGGCCAGGCAGGTCTCGAACTCCTGACCTTGTGATGCACCCACCTCGGCCTCCCAAAGTGCTGGGATTACAGGCATGAGCCACCGTGCCTGGCCTGGTGTTAATACTCTTATTTGTCAGATATAGTTATGTTTTCATATGTATTGTATTTTCCTGAAATTCAGTGGCTGTGAGGTCAGCAGACAGCGGGAGGCACAGCTCTCATGTGCCTGCCCACCTGCTCGCCTGCCCAGCATCGCATCTGAGACACCTTTGTTTCTTCGGCCTTTGTCTGTTTTTGTCTCCATTTCTTAACTCGAAATCCAATTGGGAAATTTTTTTTTGTTTTTTATTAAGAGACAGGGTTTCGCTCTGTCACTCAGGGTGGAGTGCAATGATGCCATCATAACTCACTGCAGCCTTGACCTCCTGGGCTCAAGCGATCTTTCTGCCTCAGCCCTCAGCCTCTGGAATAACTGGGACTACAGGCGTGTGCTACTACCCTCAACTAGTTTTTTCTTTTTGTAAAGACAGCGTCTTGCTGTGTTGCCCAGTATGTTCTCAAACCCCTAGGCTCAAGTGGGCCTCCTGCCTGGGCCTCCCAAAGCGCTGGGATCACAGGCCTGAACCACTGCACCTGGCCTGTTTTTGTATTTTTAAAAAGCTAAATTGGTCAGTGATTGTCTTGAAAATGACTTACCTATGATGAGATGGATGAGCAGGAACAGAATTAGTAACTTTAGTTGGCATCTCTTGAAATTAAAACCCTGGGAAAAGATTACCAAAAGCCATATGGAAACTAGGCAGTGGTTACTTGAAGGAAAAAATAATATTGCTGCCAGGTGTCCAGGCACATGGGAGGGCAGGAGGCCTAGTATTTCCTTTCCCCTCAAGTAACCGCTGGTTTTGAGAAAAGCTAGCCGAATCCTCCCTGCAGCACTTGTCCAGCAACCTTAGTTCCTGAGAAAGCTGAAGGCCGTGGTGAATCTTCAGTGATGGAGCTGAGGTTGGTGAATTTATGACCCTAGACTTAGTTATTACAGTGAAGGCAGACTTTTAAAATTTTTGTGAAAAGGCTGTTTGTTGCCTTTTGCCTCTGTTGCCCAGGCTGGAGCGCAGTGTTGCAGTTTTTGGCTCTCTGCAGCCTCAGCCTCCTGGGCTCAAGCGATCCTCCTGCCTCGGCCTCCTGAGTAGCTGGGCCTACAGGTGCTCACCACCATGCCTGGCCGACGTTTTTCATTAGAGTTGTGGATGTTTGCAAAGTGCATGTCCTCAGTGGTGTGAAGGCCAAGCTCCAGGGTCTGCTCTGGGGGTTCTGTGTTTTAGGGGTTTGAATTCTGGCTTTTCCTTCTGCAGGCATCAGCAGGACTCAGACCTCTCAGCAGCGTGCTCTGACACTGACCTCCACAGACACAAAAAAAAGAAGAAGAAAAAGAAGAGACATTCAAGGAAATCAGAGGACTTTGTTAAAGATTCAGAACTGCACTTACCCAGGGCCGCCAGTTTGGAGACTGTTGCCCACTTCCGGAGAGCGCAGGGCGGTTTTCCCCTCCCTGGTGGCCCGCCTCTGGAAGGCGTCGGACCTTTCCGGGAGAAAACGAAACACTTACGGATGGAAAGCAGGGAGGACAGGTGTCATCTCTTTGAGTATGGCCAGGGTAAGAGGAGATACTTGGAATTAAGAAGTTAGAAATTATTTCTTAATACAGTTTGTTTGCAAAGGTGATCAACACATAGAAGCCCTCAGGTGGCATCAGAGGGCACACACAGGTGATGAACACATAGAAACCCTCAGGTGGCATCAGAGGGCACAGTTACTTGGCACACCCCTGCCCTGTCTGTCCGGCCTCGGCGCTCAGGCCTGCAGTGCAGTTCCTTGTTCAGTTTGGCTCCTTAGCAGCAACCCCTTAGCGTTTATTGAAGGCCTGAGTGACCCAGGACTGAGCTCAGCATTGCCTGTGTCGCCAAAGCCCTGGAACTTAGGGCCCTGGGCTTCTGAGTGTTTGCCTTGTGAAGGACCATAACTCTTGGTTTTAAAGCATCTTTTTGTGTGTGTGTTTTTTTTTTTGTTTTTGTTTAAAGCATTTTTGATAGAAATACTTTTGCAGTGTTTAAGTTACTCTCCTGAATCCTTAAGCCCGTAGACTCTGAGTATACCCTGACGCTCGGTACTGATTTGCTGGCTTGGGTCATTAGAAGCGTGGGCGCCGGCCTTTGCCTGAGTGGTGCCACAGAGGCCTCCATGTGGCGGGCACTGGCTGCCACTGCCAGCTATCCTGGATTCTGCATCTGTCCTGCGGGGCTGTGTCTCCTTCATCATGTGGCCACGCACTGTGCTCTGATGGCACTTGAGGCAGCCCTCCTTCCCTCTCTGGCTGGTATCCAGTGACTGCTGGCCCTGGAGAGGAGCCCTGAGCCTGTTAGAAGCGGGTGTCACTCCACTCAGTGGACCTAGAACAGAGCTTGGCAAACTGCAGCCCGGGGCTTTGCATGAACTGAACTTGGAGTTAAGAATGGTTTTAACCTTTTTAAGTGGTTGGAAGTAATCCCAAAGAAGAACAGTTTGTTTCACATGAAAATGCTGTGAAATTCAGATTCCAGCGTCTGTGGCTTTATTGGGGCGCAGCCAGACGCCTTTGCACATTGTCTGGTGGCTTCGCTGTCACTACTCGGCAGAGATGAATGGCTGCAGCAGGGACTGTGTGGCTCACAAAGTGGAAAATGTTTATTATTCGCCCCTTGACAGAAAAAGTGTGTCACCCCTGCCTGGACGCCCAATGTTTGCTTTCACATGTGAAGCACACCCCTCCTCACGGGGAGTTGGACGTATCATCGGGGCTGCCCTGAGAGGCCTTGGCTGCTCGGCTGTCGTGGGCTTGGTGGAGCTGTGTGTTCTGGGGAAGGCCTCTTCTGCCAACAGCCCAGAGCTGGCATCCATTGTTGATTGAGAGGCAAACGGTCCTCAGAGTGTGTGAGCGAGAGCTGGGGGCTGACAGGCGAGCCTTCCGTGGGGGACACTTGCCCGTGGAGTGCTGGAGAAACGGCCGGAGTCGAGGACAGGCATCAGCGCTGCCCGTGAGGAAGGGAGCCTGCCGGTGTTTGCTGTTTGTATTGTAGACATTCTGGACGTTTCAGTGATTCGGAGAAGGGGATTGGAGAGGGCTGCTTGGTACCTGAGGATGTCGTGGGTGGGCTCATCCTGCATGCCGTGCAGGCTCCCAGGATGGCGGCAGGATGACAGCCCACTCTCAGGCCTCTGTGCTAAGCTCTGCAGCCGGGGCTGCTGGAAGACAGTGATGGCCCCAGAGGCAGCTAGTCCGGGGAGGAGGAGGTTGAATGTGAACCTGTTTGCCTTGCATCTTAGGTGCTGCGGTCAGGCGTGTGTCTGTGTGGTATCTCTGCGTTTCCGTTCCCGGTCCCCGGTCCCACTATACCAATGACAGGGTTTGCAGCTGGTGCTTCTGCTGTGAGCACAGACTGAGGAGCCTTTCTCATCCTCCCAAAAAGGCTGCTGCCCAAGCCGCGCCTTACCCAGCATCCCACAGTCCTGCAGGCCTCCCTCTGCCCTGGGTTTGGCCCCTTGCCTTTCTCTTTCAAACTCCTCCTCTGGCTCTCTTCTGCTCAGTTCAGTTCTTGGGCCTGAGATCTGTTTTCCTCATGTTGAGGTGCGTGTGGGTTGGATGGAGCCAAGAATGGGCATGGCTGGGGTCCTCAGTCATCACGTAAACCCTTGATGTCAGTAAAACCCTGGGAGCAGCAGTGGCACGCTGGAACACTCCTGCTCACCTGGCCAGGAAGCGGCCTCAGGCACTCACATGGAACCGCAGTGACTGTCTGTAGCCACTTAACACACAGAGTGTGGGCACTGGCAATTTTGCAACCATAATTAAAATCTCTTTCCTGACCTTTGCTTTCTAGGTGATTGAAAACTCGGCCTCAAAACAAAAAATTCACTAGTTATGGTAAGCTGTTTCCCATCTGTCCATTTCCACATTGTTTGTGGCGGTGTTGAGGGGGTGCAGGCAGAGGAGTTGTAATTCTGCAGCTCTGCCTGGGGGCGGGGCCCACAGGAGTAGGCAGAGCCATGGAGAGGCCCTGGCAGGCTCCCAGCCAGCCCAGACCCAGGCTATGCACTTGGGGACAGATTTAGACTCCACCTCATCACCTTTGCATTACTGGCCAGGGAAGACCTGCATCCCTCACACAGGCAGTGTCTCCCCATTCCCTTGCCCTTCACTAGGAAAAGCCAGCCCCGGCTCACAACAGCTGAGCCCTCAGGCCTTTGAGAAACATCTGGGGAGGGAGAGACCTGCTCCCTCCACAGATGTCTCACTGAGGAGAATGGAGCCTCATTCCCTCCCCCAGCCCTCCCCCTTCCCGTGCTACTGCAGCCCCTGAGACTCACCACACAAAACCATGGGAAGGTGCTGGATGGCAGATCAGGACCTTGGAACTGCAGGGCAGTGTTCAGTCACTTCACACAGGGGTCCTGAGAGAGTCACTGGTTCCATACCTGAGTCTTGTGGAGCTAAAAAGGGACAGTGAACCATTTTTCCCTTGAAAGGAAACCTTGTCCAGAAGTGTCTGTCACATGTAGTCAGTCAGCGAAGGGAATTTAAAATGAATTTCCAAGTGAAGATTCTGGATTAACTGGCCATTAATTAAAAGGCTTTATCAATGTGTCCTCAAGGGAGAGGCCCAACCCTAATTAAGGAGCTAAACTTCCTGAGTGAGGGGCTGTGAGGATGGAGGCGGAGGCGGCAGCTGGGGTTGGGCAGCTGCCCGGCCCAGCAGATGGCGCCTCCCTGGCTGAGCCCCCCGCACTGCCAGTTCCCTCATTTCAACTCAGGAAGGCAGAGTGACTTTCTCAAGGAAGAAGAGCTTCCCCAGCCCTGGGGAGCAGCTGGCAGGGCATCCAGGGATAAGCTGTGGCCTCACCAGGCCCCTGCGCAGCCGCCTGCCCGCCTTCTACTAACCCTGCGCCTCTTGTCTTTCAGATTCAATGCGTTCAACAGAAGCCATCCCCAGCCCAGCTTAAATTATATAGAAAATAACTGTTCCAATCTGCGTGGTGCTTCTTTAGTAAATACTGTACAGATTTTACCATGGAGAACTTTTTTTTTTAGTTTTTACCTTTTCTTAATTACCCTATTCCAAATGGATGAACACTTTCTACCACTGCTGACCATTGTAAAATACCGTGTATATAAATCCCACTGAAATAATGCCCTGGAATAGAACATCTCAAATGCTGCTTAATTACAGACTCAGGTCGATTACTTGTATTTCATGTAATGTTCCTCCAAGTTAGACATCTGGTGCAAGACCAACCGGGAAACCATGGAATTGTCAAAAGTACAAACTGACAGTGTGTATATTTAATTTAAAGACTTTTATTTAAAAACTCACATGCTCTCACCTAGACTTTCGAGAGCAGTCTGTTTTCTGTAATGTCTGATACTAGAAACTAATTTGCTTATTTTAGTTGTATTCAAGATTTGAAGATGTATTTTATAGAGAAGTTCTGTTTTTGAACTTTGTGGAACTGTTCCAATCAATTTCCCAGTTATGATGAGTATTTACATTATGAATGTATAACCCAGACATGATTTGTAAGCCTATAGTATGTTTCTATTACACGACACTTTTTGATACAGCGTCTCTTGTCTTGACTATGATACTGGAGTCTCAGTTGTCTGCTTGGTCCCTTCAAGTTTCTAGTTACAGACACAATCATACTGTGATTTTATTTTTAATATGGATATGCTATCAAACTGTGATACACTTATAATTCACTGGTCCTGCATCAGGAGATGGAGTGGGGAAAACTGTATTTAATACAGTTTGTATCTGAATAATCTGTATGGTTTATACAGTTTGTGTTGTTCAGAGATGTTTAAAGTTTGATCTTTGTTTTTTTAAAGATTAAAAAAGCACTTGCCCCACTGTAAATATACAGCATGTAAAATTTCTATAGTATATAAATGGCAGCAAATCACACACTTTGCGTCTTATTTTTTTACTGTTTTTCCCATTTGCTTCCAGACTCCTTTCTGTCATCTGAATTCACTTTCTTAAAACCTTCAAGTGTTCCTGCTGAGGTCAGCACCTTCAGCCAGGCCCTCCTGCCTGGGACAGGCAAAGGAAAATCGGAGGGGTTTGCTGGACCCAACAGTATCTGTTTCAAAGAACTGAGTCTTGGACAGTCTTGTTTTAACATGTGATTTTTATTTAGTGAACACAGTATTTGCGAGAGCTCTGACAGCCATCCACCCTCCAATCTTAATCTTACTGTTCACTTTACAACCAAATATCGATAGATAGAGGCTATTTCTTCATGCGAGCTGTGGGAGTATATACATTGAATAACACTCCAGAAATCAATAGATGTACATTATTTACATATTACTATGTTTATCGCAAATAGAATATTTTCTAAGAAGAAAGTCACAACTTGTGGTCTCTGGTTTACCACAGACCTAACTTCTCAGCAAAGCACATCTATGTAGATATCTGCATTTGTAACTTTAAAATAGGCATTGCTTTCTATGAAGCACTAAGTGCTGCTCCATCTATAAATAGCTCCCATTTTCACTGTTTGGTACCACATTAAACTGCCCAAAAAATGTTCTGTGACCCCAAAGACATTGCTGCTTGTCTGGGTCCAGGGTCAGTCCAATTAAACTCAAATGTGAACCAGGGCCCAGCAAGACAGAGGCTGGAAAGGCTGTGGCAGCTGCCGCCTCCCCACAGGGCTCCCTCACTGCCTCCTGGCCTCTGTCCCTGGAAGAAAGTGTGTCTTTGGCCAGAGTTGGGACTAACAATTCAAGCCCAGCGCTCGGACATCGGGGTGGGGAGGATCATGATCGTGATGGGTCACACCTGCCCAGGGTGAGGGACAAAGAGATGTCCTGCTTCAGGGCCGTCCTGGTGGCAGCTGGCCCTGTGCAGTCACTGACCCAGAGTTTTCTGGATCAGGCCTGCCTCAGGGCTCAGCAGGCATGATGGCTGCATAGCCTTCATGCTAATACTGTTGTAACACAGCCTGGAGCCGGGAGATTTCTAACACTCTGATGGCCAAGTACCTGAGTCTAACTCAGCACCACAGCCTCTGCGCAGCTCCCGGATGCCCACCACCCAGTGAAGCTCACTCACAGGTGACCCCAACAGGGGAGCTTAATCATCCGGCGACTCCTTCCTGCTGCTTCTCCCAACACCCAAACCACACAAAGCTCTGCATCCCCAGATCATACCTGGGTCAGTCAGGAGGAGGACACGGCTTATGCGAGCATGACATGCTGACAGAGCTGGCTGCTGCCAGTCCTCAGTGCGGGGCCAACCTGAGGGGTGGGCACCTCCAGAGCCAGCCATCAGTGTGTGGTCTGGGTGGGGATCCAGGCAGCATTTGTTTTCATGGAAGACTGGAGGCCAGAGCTGCAGATCTACCAGCCAGGCATTTCAAGAACGCTGACTTGTCTTTCTTGAAACTAAAGTTTCTAATGTGAGGTATCAGTGCAGTAAGAAAGCCTAAGAACTTGGGAATGAAACAGTCTCATGCAGGACGGGGCTTCTGGCCTCTAACCCCTCTGCAGTCTAGTGTGACTTAAAGCTACATCAAGGTCATCCACAGGGATGACCTCCTCCTCCCTCAAGGCAACTTGAAGTCTCCGATGCTGAGAAGGAAACCTGGGCGCACACTGCCTGAGGTTTTTGTCTCCTGGACTGTGCATTTCACACAGGAGTGCAGATGCCCTCCAGAGCGTGCAGATTCAAAGTGTGTGCACCTGTGCAGGTAGGGTGGGAAGAGGAAAAGCCAGCTACCAACCCAGCGGCCCAGTGTACAACAGGGTCCTCTAGACAGAGCAGCGTCTGCCACCGACCCAAGTCAACCCAAGCACACCATGCCCCCTTCCAGCCCTGCCCCCTCTCTGTAAGTGAGGCCCAGATCCACCTTTCCTGGAGCAGAGCACCAGGTACCTGCATCCTTACATCCACAGCAACCTGATGGCCTCCTAGGCAGGCATGGAGCTTCGCCAGTTCCAGCACCATCATCTACCTGGGGTTCTCAGCTTCCCAGAACCCTAAGTGCCGGGCCTCTGCACCCATGGCCTGTTCTTCCCTCCCTGTAGGGAAAGCACCTCTCTCAGGATACGGTGCACTACATGGAGTGAGACTGATTCCTTCCTTCTGTGTCTATTCATTAAGAAGCCTGTTCAAATGATAAGGTCTGTAAAATAAGCGTTGATTTTGCCACAGGTTTTAAAGTGCGATATGGTCAAAAGCCGATCTAACCCATGGACTGCGTTGACCTATATGAAAAGCTGCCGTTTGTGTGCGTCTAAGCAAAACATTAGCAGTTTCACGTGGTTCAACGTATGGACCAGCTGTGTCCAAGGAAAAAGCTGTTTCCTAGGATTTAGCAGTTACGGGCTAAACATCCCCAAACCATTAACCATTATAATGATTTGCTTTTTTAAAGTATTTGTGGGGCCAAAAAGCCTGGATTGAATGGAGGCTGCAGGGGAGTCACACTGGAGCCCCCAAGCGCCATGGCCATCCCTCCCCAGCCCGCCTGCTGCCCCCAGGGCAGCCCTCTCCTTGGGTGCTGCATCTAGATGGGTACTTTTTCAGTGCACAGTATATATTTGTGTCCAGGAGTTAACTTTATAGCTGCCATTCTAAAAATACTACTGTTACAAAGTATCTTTTGTTATAATTTCAGCATATAAAAAGGCATATAAAAGCTATAATCCTATATATCTGAGAAAAAATTCTGAATAAAAAACTGGTAGCTTTTCCTTTCCTGTTTTGCTATAAAACAGTGGCGTTCTAGAACAGCTGACACCGCCACAAGTGGACATGTTTGGCATGATACAGATGAGGCTCCCGTCTGTGGAATCCATCCCGTGTCTGCTGTGGAGAGAGCAGGAGCTGCTGTCCTGGCTTCTCCCCCTGGGGCACCGGGATGGTCGCAGGAAGGAAATGCTTCTGGACACGCACAGCTGACCACGACCCCAGCCACGGCACAAGGCCTGGGGGATCAGTCTGGGCCACAGTACGCTCTGGAGAAGCAGCAAGCACCGCAGGGCGACCACCTCCCAGGACCCCAGCCACAGCATGAGGCCTCGGAGATGAGTCTGGGCCACGGTATGCTCTGGAGAAGTGGCGAGTAACCGCAGGGTGCCTCCCTGCCACGCCTTCTGCGGAGGGGCGGCCCACGGTGTCTTTCTGCTGGGGCTGGGTCTTTTACCAGGAAAGCTATTTTTTATTGGCAATCCTTCGTTTCCTTGTTGCCAACATGTCATAGAAGGGGTCCCTGCTGATACTGGCTCTGGTTTAAAAAAAAAAAAAAAGGAAAACACCCACGTTAGGTCGTGTCCCCTTCCCCACCATGCCAGAGGCTCCTCAGACAGGACTGCAGGCTCAGCTCTGAGCATCAGCTTCGGCAGTCAGCCCCCTCCAGGGTTTCTGGAGGCAGACGGTGGTCCACTCTTGCACACGGAAGCGTCCATGTTCCAGACCATACACCCCACCTCCAAGTGGCACGAGAAGATGGGCATGACCCTGGCCCCCAAGGCCCCGCTTACTTGATGGATTTCATCCACTCCTCCTTCTCCTCTGGGCTGGGTGCTGAGATCCGGTACACCACGTGGTTCCCCTCTACCACACGGCCGTCAGCCTCCGTCTTACAGGCCTTGATGACCTGCCCTTTGTGGCTGGGATTGTAGAGCTCAAAACAATTCTGGTGGAGAAAAAGAGAGGGGAGGCCATCACAGGGGCTTCAGGCCAGGTTCCCTACAAGCAGTAAGCATGGCTCCCAGGTGGCTGGTGGGAGAGAAGGTGCAGGAGGAAGAGCTTACGGGTTTCCGGGGGTCCTCCACCTCCCTGATGCTGAGGTTTTCTAACGGGATGATTCCCCTGGGCTCCTTATCCTACAAGAGAAAAGTGCACGGCAGGACTCACTGTGGGTCACCGGCCTGAGGGTCCCTTGACCCCAGGACAGTACTGTGACTGCTGGGGAGAGGCTAAGAAGGCCCGGCCTTACTTACTGTTGTGTATTCAAAGTAATAGAGGCAGTTATCGGTCAGGATGAACCACCGGCGCTTCCAGGTCTTCACGCGCCCTCCTAGAAACAGAAGGGCCCTATGAGTCCACGCTCCGTGCACAGGGAGCCCGTGGGTCCAAGAGGGGGCCCTGGACCTGCAGAGACCACTGTGTTTTCAGAAAGGCTGCCAGGCACCAGGCTTGGGTTTAGGTGTCGTTCGGTGTTCCCACTGCGGGGCCCCGCATGCATCCACCCCGCCCACGCCGGTGCCCCCTCCGTGGCACCGAGGGGCCCCCTCCATGACACGACCGCGCTCCAGTTCACTTCCTGGGAGAGTTAGTGGGATGGATGGCCTCATTTCCCGACATGAGATGGCAGCGTGATGAAGTCAGGACTGCTCGCCCAGCTCTGTGCAGGGCCTGACCCCACCGTGTCAGGCGGTTATCACATTACGGAGGCCCTCAGGCAGCCCTAGGATCCATCAAAATCAATCACCCTGGGCCCAGGTAATCATAAGATTGAATTAATTTTGTAACAAGATCTGGAGCACACGTGCACACTCACGTACCCCCATTTGTACCTGCCTTCCTCTAAGGGAAGGAAATCTCTGATCCTTAAACATTCAGCAGAGACAAACTCACTTCAACTGCTAGCCTTGCCTGTGTTTGTTTTTTAAATAATTCAACAAAAAAACATGTGCATGGCAATGAATTCAAGTACTCCCTGGGGCACTAGGCCCTCTCTGCCGCATGACTCCCCAGCCGCAGAGGAGCTCGCTGGCTTTCTCTGTGACAGATGGGCAGGGGAAGAGCCCTCGGGGCTGAGGGTCCCAGGCCTCCCCGCATGGGGGCCAGCACAGGTGTTGGGGCCTGGAGGCAAGATGGTGGAAGAAGGGCTCTGCGGGTCACCAGGACACAGGGTGCTTTCCCTGTTGGGGCCTGGTTTGCAGAGACCATGGGTGAGGGGAACCAGCTGCAGGTGGGAGGAAACCCTGGCCCAGCAGAACAGGAGACCAGACTGGGTCTCCACAGCCCCTCTGGGACCCTCTGGCCCCTGCCTCACTCAGCGCTGCCATCCTCCTTTGATGCCTAACACAGCCTACAATGCAGCTGCCACCTCTAGCTTGGGACAGGAGCCCAGCATCCAGCTGCCCTCCCCTGCCCCCAAGACTCAGTCTCACCAGTGTCCCAACAGCCCACCCATTAAAGGTTCTGTCTAGACCCTGGTCTGGTCAAATACGCCCCCAAGATTCCAGCTGCATCTCTCCTGCCCTCAAATCTGCCCCTCCCAACATCTCTCCTGTGCCCTGGCCGGGGCTTCCACTCCCTGAGCCCCTACAAGCTGCTCTGTCACTGGAACCTTCTGCCCCAACTGTGCAGGTCCACCTCACTCATCCCCTTGAAGACCCAGCCAGGCCCACAGCAAGGCCCAAAGTCCTCAGGGCCCTTGTGTGCCTGTCTCACCAAGGGTTCCATGCTCCATGCCAAGCTGTTGGCCTTCATCTTCCCCACCTCGGCTGCAGCGTACTGGGGGGCCCAGGTCCACGAGGGAGGGCAGGAGACCCTGGGGGCAACCCCACCTTGTCTCACAGTCCTCCAGTGAGCAGGGAGACATGTTCTCTGTCCCCGAGACCTTGGGACAGGAGGACAGTGCTGATTCCTTCCAGGCACTTGCTCCAGCTGGAGCTGCTGTGGCAGAATCAGCTGACAGCAACTCCACTACCCTGACATCCATCACTGTCATGGTCACCTCTGTTTCCCTCCAGAGACTCCAGAGCAGGCCCTGCTCCAGCTGCACTGATGCCACCTGCCATCCCCCAAGCAGTGGCCCAGAGGCATCTTTTCAAACACATGTGGCAATCATGCCTCTCCCTGCTTGAAGCTCCTGAAATGTCCTACTGCACTAGGCCTTAGACGGAACTCCTTGGATGGCAGCAGGGGCCGCCCTTCTGGGCTCACCAGCTGTGGCCTTCCTCCCTGGCCAGCTGTCCAAGTCTCGAGCTCTTGGGGAGCTCATCCAGGAGCTCCCAGGCCGTGTGCTTCTATCCAGTGCCTGCTCCATGGCGGACAGCCAAGGGCCTGTGTGTTGCACTAGCCCGCCTGCCTGGCCCCTGCCTGGGAAGGGTCTGCTTGGAGGCCTCTCAGCTCCAACCTGGGCCCCCGCTCACACCCACCATGGAGAGCCCCATCCCTGTCCAGTCCACAGGGCCAGGGGATCCTTGCAGGCTGGGACTACAGGCCTGTGGCAGGGGGGTGATGTGCTTGGTCTCAAAGCCCAGCAGGCTCTGCTCATGCTTGTTTCTGGCCACATCACACAACACCCTCACCTACAGATGAGAGCCTGGCTTCTGGAACCTGCCGACAGGAACCACACTTTCTCTCTGCGAGTTTGTTTTCATTGCTGTGGCCAGGCATGTGCGTGGGTATGCACACATGGGTCCACATGCATTAACACAGCACGTGCACACACTTTCTCCACAACAGCTCAGCTTGGACCACCTCCTATGATTTTTTTTTTTTTTTGGTAATTGATTCAAGACTCAAAGTCTTATGTTACCAACAATCATAAACCATCCCTGTGTACATGGCAGGGCTCCTATGCTCTGGCAAAGCATCCAGCCCTTTTCAAGACCACCTGCTCTACAAGCAAATCTACAGTAAGAACACAACCAAGCCAGGCCACACTCCCTGCTGAGCACACGCCTGGAAGCACATTCTAGATTCTGCACCCATCTCGTCCACCTCCAGCCAGGGCCCTAGCTCACCAGCCTTTGGTCTCGACTTTGCTCCTGAGACCACAGTGGATGCAGAGGCTGCCTGGATGGGAGAGGCCAAGGAAGCCAGCACCCTGGAGCAGTAGCCACTCACTGCGCCACCCACCACACTGAGACCATGCCAGCTGCACCAGCCCCACCAGGGCCCCCGCTTGGCACCTGGCGCCCAGCCAGCTCTTGGTTCCCGTGAATGCCGTGTGCACTCATTTCATGGCCTGTTTATCTGCCCAACCAGAAAACAGGTTAGACAACACGAGCTCTGCTGTGCCTTCATTTCATTCATGAGTTTTCATCTCTAGAGCCGACCCCTCCCTGGTGGCAAAGGCCACGTGAGCTGCCAGGCAGGCTGACAGCATCACTGACTCTCGAGAGGACACTAGGGGGCAATGCAGGAGCCAGAAGGGAGGCATCAAATCCAACACCCCAATGATCCTGGTCCATGGTGCCTGCTGGTGTTTTCGGACACATGCCTCCTCCTGCCCTCACTCTAGAACATCGCACGTTACCTGAATCGGGTCTCTTAGGCACCCACGCCCAAGGTCATGGTGCTAGGTTTTCAGGCAAATATCTAGAACTACCCTAAACCTCAGCATAGCCAGAAGAAAGTCAAAGAACAATGGCCAAAGTCAAAGACCCTAATGGGAACAGCAGGCCTATGGGGCTCACATCCATTCCATCAGCTGGGGAGGCCTGTGCCTGTCATACCACCATTATGCCGTGTCTCATCCTCCCTTGATAATTTTTTTTTTTTTGAATAAAGGTCTCACTCTGTCGCCCACGCTGGAGTACAGTAGCAGAGTCGCAGCTCACTGGAGCCTCAACCTCCCGGGCCTCAGGCGATCCTCCTGCCTCAGCTTCCCTTGTAGCTGGGACTACAGGCACACACCATCATGCTAGGCTAGTTTTTATTTTTTGTAAAGACGGGGTTTCACTATATTGCCCAGACTGGTCTCCAGCTCCTGGCCTAAGCAATCTTCCCACCTCAGCCTCCCAAAGCACTAGGATTATATGCATGAGCCACTGAATCTGGCTGATAAATTTTTCTTTTGAGACAGAGTCTCACTCTGTCACCCAGGCTGCAGTGCAATGGCACAATCTCAGCTCACTGCAGCATCCACCTCCCAGGTCAAGCGATTCTCCTGCCTCAGCCTCCTGAGCAGTTGAAATTACAGGTGCACACCACTATACCCAGCTAATAATTTATATTTTTAGTAGAGATGGGGTTTCACCATATTAGTCAGGCTGGTCTTGAACTCCTGACCTCAGGTGATCTGCCCACCTCAGCCTCCCAAAGTTTTGGAATTACAGGTGTAAGCCACTGCACCCGGCTGATGAAATTTTTAAAAAATCAGTAGAATGCTCCACACCAGGTCTTATGTGCTGCCCAGTGGCCACTTGCTCTCAGAAGGGCTTGTGTGAACCCAGTCACTGCATCTCTCAGCTTCACTGTGGGTATAGGGCAACCATCCCCACCCCTCAGGCAAAATGCCTGTCAACGTTCCTAAAACTACCTGTAAGTGCCCTAAATTGCCCCAAAAGCCTTTAGAGCGCTCCCAAAATCCCTCCATGAGCTGCTGGGTTAGTATGGGGTGGATGGTGATGCCGCAGGGACAGGGCTGGCTGTCAGCTTCTCTACTGCTGCAGACCCCTAAATACACGGGGTGGGGGACAAGCCGGTTCCCCACAGCATCCCCATGTGCTCCAGGTCCCAGCCGCGCTCAGCCCCGCCCCTGAGGGTAGGTGTAGCATTCACCGCACCGTGCATGGCGCAGTCCCAGCAAGTCCACAGATGGATCAGATGAATGGCAGCCACACAGCAGAGCTCACACAGACCAACGTGGGGAGACCGAGAGGAATGAGCCGCTGGGGGGCAGGAAGCCACTGGGTACCTACCTCCTAAAGCAGGACAAGCAGGGACAGCCCGTCACAGAACAGAAAGGTGGGAGCCACAGGCAGAAGGAAAACAACAAGAAGGCACATTTAAACCACGCGTCAAAAATCACAGCCACACCAAACCGAGAGAGAGGCACACAGGTTCTGTGGAGATAATGCGCTTGCTTCTCGTGCAGGAAGCTGCCCTAGCTGGACCTGGACGCTAACTCACAGTAGTTTTCTGGGATGGGCCATGCAGCCCGGGCATTACTCTCTGCGCAGACATGGCTCAGACAAGCGGCCGTGGGCCGTGTGGTTACCAAGAGCGGGCTCTGGCTTAACTGTGTTTCTTTTTAATGTCTCTGCCTGCAGTGGGGGACATTCCTAAAATGAGCTTGGGAGAAACCCAAGGGGCTGCTGCCGTGGGCAGAGGGGTCATGGCCCAGGTCCCACTCAGCCAGGGCTCACCCAGCTTCAGGAGCCAGCCCTCGCGGTCAGGGTTGAAGAAGGTGTGTGTCAGGTCATTCCCGTCATCCTCTGGAATCTTAAATGGCTCGTTCTTAATGCTCTCATACAAATTCTGCAAGGAAGAAAAAACAGCAGCAGGTTCAGCGATTCAGAGGAAAGTGGCTGGCCAGGCGTAAAGCTCAGCAGGATCAGGGCAGCAAGGAGACTTGGGAGGCACATCTACAGTCACAGGCACTGCGGCCGCTCACAGCGAAGAGATCCTGCAGACAGCAGCGGCCTGGGCCGGGGAGCTCACCCTTAGCAGCTCCTCAGGGAGGTCCCCACCCTCGTTGATGCCACGGTTCATGGCGATGAACCGTTCTGCCGTGGGCTTGTCACGCACGTTGTGGTTGTGCAGGCTGGTGTTGAGCATGATGATGGCGAATGACAGCACGTAGCACGTGTCTGCAACGAGTCCGGGGTGCTGGGCTCAGCCAGAACCTCCATGGACAGTGGGACCCCGAGTGCTGGGGGCCGGCCTTCGAGAGGTGCCCGGCCCACAGGTCATCCTCGCTCAGGGAAGGCAGGCCCCAGGAACACATGCTAGGCTGTGCCCGCCAGGGCCACCCCCTCCAGAGCTGGAGGCTGTGCCTGGCAAGGGGCCAGGCTGTGAGCTCTGCACTGACCTGTGGACTGGAAAACCCCGGGGTTGCAAAGGCAGTAGCGAGAAGCGAAAGCCTCCATCATACGATCAATCTTCTGGGCCTCCCCGGGCAGCCTGAAGCTCCATAAGAACTGCCTATGGAGACACCAAAGCCGAGGCACGGCCGTGTCAGAACCAACACCACTTCATGGCCAAGGATAGCTTCTGCCCTGCTCAGGAAGGGTGTTTTCCTCCTGGGCCTGGGGTACAGTTCTGGCAGGGGCTTGGGGGTGCAGACACAGAAAGGAGAAGAGCCAGGACAGTTTCCTTCTGTTCGGTAACTCAAGACACACTTACTGGTCCATCTTTTTATAACTACAACCAATTCAGCGGCGAGGCTAGTTGTCTCTGCCTAAAAAGTAAATGTCCAGGATCCTGGCACTTCTCCGTCCCCACTGCCATCATCTCCTGCTGCTGCCAGGTGATCACCAGAGCCCTGCCTGTCCCCAGAGCTGGCAGCAGGTTGTCCTGACAGCCTCAACAGGACCACGTCCTCCTCTCAGAACTCCCAACCACAAGGCAGAGCCAGAGTCCACAGGACAGTATCCAAACCCCCCCACAACCACACTGGGTACTGCGGCCTGAAGTTGCTACTGCCACCGCCTTGCTGGGGAGACATACTCCTGACTCAGGAACCAGGCCCAGCAGCCGCTCCCACCCTCAAGCATCCCATCTGACTGAGGTCTCCCTGGCTGCCCTGCCTGGAATTGAAATCTCCCCCAGCCGAGCACCCCCCCACCCGCTTCCCTTTCTTGCTTTCCTCAGCTATGTGGCACCACCCCCACTACCTGCCTTATCCACCTCCTGGCAGCCCAGGTGTGAGCCCCGGGGGCAGGGGCTGCAGTCCCCATGGCCAGCTGTGGCCTCCCCACCAGCTGCTCAGCTATGTCTAATGCTACTGTGGATTTAGCACAAGGATCAGGACTGAGTTAGACAAGGCTCCAATTAAGTCTCTGGGCTGTCCATGGTTTTTAAATATGGATCCCACCAGCCATTGGGGGCGGGATGCAGCCTGGCCTCGCCGGGGCTCCTCTATGCGTCCCTCACACGAGATGGCCCCCCAGGCTCCTTCCTCTGCCCTTTCCTCCTGGGATTCCAGCCACATTTGGCCCTACTCTCTGCCAGGCCCCATCTTCTCCGCCAGGCCTGCACCGGTAGCCTTCAGACTCAACACAACTGCCCCTCCTCCACTCTCAGGCCAGCCACCCAGGGTCACCCCTCACTCCCTCTCTGCTTCACGTTCACCAACAAAGATGCACCTACCTGCCGTCCCACTGCCGTGGCCTCCCTGCCCACCTCACAGCAGTGATGAGTCCCAAGTCAGCCCACGCACCTCTGCCCATACAGGCTTGCCATTTCCCTTAGGGCAAAAGCCAATATCTGCACAGCAGCTCCTCAGGCCACAGGACCTGCCTGCATCCCTGCCCCCCATATGCCTTCATCAGGCTCTCTCTACAGGGCTATGCCAGGCTCTCACAGCTGTGGGAATTAACAGGAATCTCTCCGGCTCTGGCAAGAGACTGATGGACTGAAAGAAATGAAGTCACAGCAGCAAGGGGTATGCCAGACGCCCCTCCCAGACTCACCAGGCCTGTGCCCCTCTTTGGACGTACAGCTTCCCGAAACGGGATCTGATAAGCCTGAACTGTGGCTGCAGGATTCTTATCTGTTGCTAACTCTCAGCGCACTGTTCAGCCCCAGGCTGCACTGTGAGCACGTCACAAGGGTCCCACAGAAACGCTGCCAACATTGCAGTCTGCACTTGAGGAGGGGCCACAAGGAAACAGACCACGTAAACGAGAACAGGGTAAGAAGCAAAACGTCCGAGAACATGACAAGATGTGGCTTGATGTTTTCAGCTGAGGGCAGGCTGAGGCAGCTCCCACAAGAGACCCTGTCTCCTCTCCCGTGGATGCTGCTGAGTGCTGGCTCAGGGTCAAGTTCCAGAACAGATGAAGAGCCCCCACAACTCAGCCGGGGCACCAAGGTAAGAGGCGAGACGACTTCCTGCTTGCAGAGCAGGAGAAAATGTGCAGGAAGGGCAGCTCGAGGAGGCGTCCAGGGAGTGTATCCCAGACACAAAAACAGGCCTGCCAAGGGTGTCTGGCCAGGGGTGGCCCCCAATGGCGAGAAACCTACATCCTCCCTGGTACACTCAGATATCCATGAGTTTGGTGTCTGAGGTCAAATCTGGTGCAAGTAACCCCATGTAGCACCAATGCCACTACATACAGAGCTTGGGAAGAAGGCTCGAACTATTGCCAAACAGCATTAAAAACAAAAGCAAAATGAACAGGAGCACCAGTGGCCATCGTGAGGAGAGTATGGCCCTGATCTTGAGCACGTGCCCCAATTCCTATCCAGACCTATTCAGTGTCACACAACATTACCTGGATCATCTGGAACAGGAGCCAGCATCTGCGAGACTTGTGTGGGACTGAGTTACCTGGAGTCAATTCACCACCATTGCTGCTCAGGCAGCAATCCTCTGGCCTCCCCCATCCGCTCAACACCTACCAAATGATAACACTTACCTTAAGGCTTGGACAAGGTTGAGATCAGCAAACTCATGGAGTTCAACAAAAGCTTGAAGAACTTTAATATTAAATTCATCCCTGGGAAAAAAAGAAATCAGTTTTAAATCTAATACACATTATCCCAATCATTTTAAAAGATATGGTTTATGAATAATGTGGCTATGAACATTCATGCACAAATTTTTGCATGGCCATATGGTTTTTTTTAAAAAAAAAAACTGGCATTTTTTGTAGAGGCAGGGCTCGATATGTTACCCAGGCTGGTCTGGAACTCCTGGGCTCAAGCAATCATCCCACCTCTCTCAGCCTCCCAAAGTGCTGGGATTATAGGCATGAGCCACCACATCTAGCCACATTTTTATTTCTACTGAGTAAATATCTAAGAGTGGAATTACTGGCTTCCGTGTTAAAGTTTATGTTTTGCATTCTGAGGAACTCCCAGACTGATTTCCAAAGCATTATTTTATATCTCATCAGCAATGTATAAGGGTTCAACTTCCCTGCAGCCTTGATAGCATTTGTACGTGTCCCTTTTATTACAGCCAGCCTAATGGGTATGAAATGGAATCTCATTGTGGTTTCAATTTGCATCTCCTTGATGATCAACTGAGCATTTTTTTTTCCTGTGCTTACTGGCCACTTGTATATCTTCTTTGCAGAAATGTCTATTCAGATCCTTTGCCATTTTACAACTGAGTAATTTTTGCTATTTTTACTCTTTTTTGGAGGAGTTCTTTATATAATCTAGATATAAGTCCTTGGCAGATTATAAGGACTGAATCAGTATGATAGTCTATAATCTGCTAAGGACTTATATCTAGATTATATAAAGAGAAATATTATATTAAGATATTTGCAAGTCATACTGATTTATTTGTATTTTTTGTAGAGGCAGAGCTCGCTATGTTACCCAGGATGGCCTGTGGGTTGTCTTTTTACTTTTTTTTTTTTTTTTTTAGGCTAGTCAAGTGAAGCAGGGGGAGTGGAGAAGGACCAAAGAAATCTGGCGCTGATAAACCAGCTGTAAACACCATCACGCCTGGCCCGGCCTTCACTTTCTTGATGTCTTCTGAAGCACAATATTTTGATGAGGAGTTCAACAAATTTGTGCTTTTGGTGTCATATTTAAGAAACTCTACCTAATTTGAGATCACAGAGATTCTCCCTGTGTTTTCTTCTAAGTGTTTTACAGTTTTATGTATTACATTTAGGTCTTTGATCCATTTTAATTGTTGTATCTGGTTAGGTGTCCAATGCCATTCTTTTGCATGTGGATTTCCAGTTATCTCAACACCATTTGCTGAAAAGACTATTCTTCCCCCCACTGATATTATCCTGGTACCTTGTTGAAAATTATTTGACAGTAAATGTGAGGGTTTTATTTCTGGATTCTCAATGCTATTCCACGATTTATATACGTCTATCCTTACATCAGTCTTACACTGTCTTGATTATATATGGTTTTTTGTTTATTTGCTGTTTGTTTTTTTAGACAGTCTCACTCTGTCACCCAGGCTGGAGTGCAATGGCATGATTTTGGCTCACTGCAACCTCTGCCTCCCAGGTTCAAGTGATTCTCCTACCTCAGCCTCCCAAGTGGCTAGCATTACAGGCACCTGCCATTATGCTCAACTAATTTTTGTATTTTTGTTGATGGGGTTTCACCATGTTGGCCAGGCTGGTCTCAAACTCCTGACCTCATGATGCACCCGCCTCAGCCTCCCCAAGTTCTGGGCTTACAGGCATGAGCCACTGCGCCTGGCCACTTTAGTCTATTCTGTAATCGAGAAATGCTAGTTCTGCAACTTTGCTCTTAAAAGACTTCTGTGGTTATTCTGGGTCCCTTGAATTTCCATACTAATTTTAGGTTGAGCAACTTCTGCAAAGAAGTCAGCTGGGATTTCAATAGAAAGTACATTAAATCTGTAGATAAATGTTGGAATATTGGCATCTTAGCAATAGTAAGCCCTCCAATCCATGAACATGGGATGCTTTTCCATTTATTTTGGTCTTTTCATTTTTTTTCAACGTTTTGTGGTTTTTGGAGTAAAAATGTTGCTTTTTTTGTTAAATTTATCCTAAGTATCTTATTCCTTTTAATGCTATTATAAATGGAGCTGTTTACTTAATGTCTTTTTCAGTTTATTGCTTGCTATTGTATAGAAATACAATCAAGTTTTGTATAATGACTGTGTATCATGCAACCTTACTGAATTTATTACTTCTAATAATTTTTAATGATTCCTTAGGATTTTCTACATACATGATTGCATCATCTGCAAAGAGAATTTAATTTCTTCCTTTCCAATTTGAATGTCTTTATTTTCTTGTCTAGCTGCCCTGGCAAGATGTGCCAGCACTGGGCTGAACAGCAGTGCTAAGAGGAGACATCCTTGTCTTGTTCTTGATCTTAGGGGGAAAGCGGTCAGTCTTTCAGCATTAAGTATGATGTTAAGTTGTGGGTTTTTTTTTATAGGTACCCTCCATGATGTTGAGGAAGTTCCCCGTCTGTCTTAGCTTTTCATGTGTTTTTATCGTGAGAGAGTTTGAGTTCTGCCAAATGCTTTTCCTATATTTGTTGAGAAGAACATGTGGGTTTTGTCCTTTATTTGAATGACATGGTATATTACTTTAACTGACTTTTATATGTTGAACTAACCTTGGCATTCATGGGATGAGTCCTGCTTGGTGCATAATCCTTTTCGCATATTGCTCCCTATATATTATAGTCATAAGATATATGGGCCGCAGTTTTCTAGTGATGTCTTTGGTTTGGGTATCAGGTAGTACTGGCCTCACAGAATGAGTTGGGAAGTATTCTACTTTCCATTTTTGATCAAGTACTTAAAAAAAAAAAAAAAAAGCTAAAAACAGAAACCATCCAAATTTAGGAACTGTTGGGCTTCTGTTTAAAAACACTTTCTTCTGGTCTTTGACAAAAGTCTGTTTTGGTACACTTAGGGCATGTGCTGCCTCAGCATTTTGCCCTAACCTCTGCTAAGCCAGTAGAGGTCAGAAAGTCAAAGTAAATCTGACTTGCTGCTTTCCACTTAAAAAATTAACTTTCCACCTTCATTCATACTACAAGTAACAGGGGAAAGAAAACCAATGAGAAATCTGGCATATTTCTGGGCAAAACAGAAGATACAATAAGATGCTTTGCAAGATAAGGAGAAAGGGGCAGCAGCATTATCAGTTCTAAGAAAAGGATTCCAGATGAGCATGGATCCCATCTGGCCCCAATGCTTCTCTCCTCCCACGGACATGGGAGAGGAACCAGTTTCACAGGGCTCACTCGGTATTGAGAAGAAGCATGTGGATGCCCAAGCCTGTGGCCTTTAGGCTGTGATGGCCCCGAAAGTGGAGTGTGAGCCTACATCAAGCTGCAGGGCTGAGTGGCCCCAGGTAGAGCTGTGCATCCTCCTTTAACTCACCTTTCACCCAGGTAGTCCCCAATGACAGTCTTATTTAGGCCTTCTCCTTTATAAAGGAACTGGGCGACGTCTTCTGGGGAACTCTGTAGCAGGTCATTTTCTATTAGAAACTGAATTCCCTGAAGAACGTTAGAAAGGAAGCACCGGTTAGGAGCGTCACTCAAACTCATTTTTCAAAGGCAGAAATACACTTAGTGTCATGATTTTACTGGTATGGACACTGCAAAAATAATACCAGAGACACCCATACAACTGCACAACCTGATTTTCCCAACTCCATACTACATTTTATACAAAGAAATGCACATTTTCCCAACTCCATACTACATTTTATACAAAGAAATGCACATTCATTCCTCCTGGCAGTTTAACAAGTTAAAAGACAAATAAATGGGTTACTGAACAAACCATTACAAGTGGTTAATAGAAACTATAAAGGCAGAAGTAACAATAATGTTAGATTTCCCAAGCTTAGGAAGATGGATTATTGTGTCTGCGAGGAACGCTTTGTGGGTGGTGGCCACTGCTGTTTGGCCAACCTGGCACCAGTCCCAAAGAGGCAGGGAGCAGGTGGTACCAGTCCCCGCTCCCTGACATCCCTTCACTAGAGAGGCACTTTTCTGGCTGCCTTTGGCACTAGAAATAACCTTTCGACCCAGATATAGCCAAACCGACAGAAAGAGAAGCCTGGAGGGAAAGCTTTTCATTTCCTCGTAAAAAGGGGCCCATGAGCCAGCACTGCTCTTCCGCCTCCTTTCTGCCTTGAACACAGATGTGATGACGTAGAGGCCACTACATAAGAGCCATAGTGGCCATCTTATGTGGGGAACCCTGAGATGAGCACAGGGATCGCGTTCTTGCCACTCAGAAGCCATCTACTGCTGCCACACAGCTGTGTGAGAAGATAAACCTCCACTGTGTAAGACATTTTTTTGTTGGATTTTCTGCTACCTGATACCAAAAACATATTAACTGGCATAATGTGCCACCAAGCTCATGACAGTCAAAGTTCATGCCCACCCTAGGTGCTGCAGCAGAGCTGGTAATCTCAAAGGCAACAGGCTGCACCTGGCCTGAATCAGCTGAGCACTGTCTCATGACAAGTCCCAGGAACCTATAATAATAGAAATTTTTACCTCTGACATAGCTTTGCAACTAGTTTCAAAGTATGTGTTGGCAAGGCTGGTAAAGGAATGGGGAATTCAGAAATCAGTTTGCCAGGAAGCCATTTCTACAAATTCAGAGAGGCTCTATCCAGCTAAGATTCTCAGTACCCAAGACCAGGGCTGCCTCGTACTCTCATGGTCCGTCCAGAGACTTCCTGTTATTTTTTTAAATTCATGAGTGTCCACAGCAGCCTTATTTCCAAAAACTGCAAACAGCCAATAAGAGAACTGATCAATACATTCTGGCATAATCACACAATGGAAGACTACATAGCAATGCAATGGAATGAACAGTCACTAACATGAATGACTCTCAGAGACATGATATGTAACAAAAGACAACATGGAAGAGTATTTCAATTCCATTCACAGAAGGTTTTAAAAAGGCAAAACTAACTTACAGTGATTAAGGACTGGTTGCCCTGGGGAGTGAATTCCCTAGGATAAGGCATCAGAAAGGTACCCTGTAATAGTCTACAACTGCAGCTTGTTCTGGGTTGCAGTTATGTGAGTATACTAATTTACAAAGATTCTTTATATTTGGAATTTGTGCACCATAATTTAATATATTATTCTAAAACAAAAATCAGTTAAGACTAACAATCCTAAATCAATTCTCATATGTATCTCTTGTAGGAGTTTAAGTGGGTATACCCACAGGGAAACCATCTAAATTGCAAGACACACATACGCTGTAGCAATGCAGGACTGGTCCTTAGACATCCCTAATCCAGCCCAAGTTCATTGAAAACAAAGCCTGAGGCAGGAGAGACAGTCCTAGGGCTTTGCTGCTGGCTGCAAGTGAGGAAAACAAGTAAAGCAGGTGGAGAAGCCTGGTGAGGCCATCAGCTGCAGGTGGTAGGGGGAGGCAGGGACACCCTCAGGGATCACTAGTTGTCCTGTCATCTCTGAGGCCCCAAGGCTGGGGGTCTGACCTTGCATGGCAAAGACCCCTGCCACTGTCAGCTGAAGTCCCAGGAACTAAATGGACTTGGGCATGAGGTTTCCGTGAATTCCTCTGGATGCTCAAGATGTGCCCTAAAATTCAGAACATCCAAAAAAACTAGAGCATTTCTTGGAGAATGCTATCTGGAAGGTGACACAGAGACAAGCAGAGGAGGAGGACACAGAAGCTCTATGTCCAATCACATGTGTCCTATGAGACAGAGGAGAAGGCGAGAGGAGGCCACAACGATGGAGGCCGAGACCACAGTGAGGCGCCCACAGCTGTGGAGACCAGGAGGGTGGCAGCCGCCAGAAGCCAGGAGCAAGGCTGGAAGGACTTCTCCTCAGAGTCTAAGCAGCAATCCTGCCCACACCCGGGATCTTGGACTTCTGGCCTACTGAACTGAGCGACAATAGATTTCTTGTTTTAAACTACCAAGTTTGTGGTCATTTGACATGGAGCCTCAAAATACTAATACACTAGGTAAATACTCATAAAAGAAAGTGAGTGTTCTAACATTAGAAAATGTTAGTATTTTAAAATGCCATTTAGAAAGTCAAACAGCAGAAATGGGGGCGGTGGCACCATTTGACCCACTATACCTACTGTTTATCTTTTTCCGTTTCTCTTCTACATGATTCCTTTATAGATCTCCTACTTCTAGGTGTGAGTAGCAGTCGGAAGACAGCTGGATTTTATTTTTTTTAACTTAATACCCAAGTGTCTGTCTTGTCATTAATTTAGCCCAATCAAATCTGTGGCAAGCACTGACTGGTTAGGACTTACTGTCTGAGCCCCTATTTGGTGCTTTCTATGTCACATGCCTTTCCAGGCTTGTGATGAACTGATTTAACTTTTATTCAATTTTTCTTAATAATTTTTAAAAATCCTATTTTATTTCTCCTTAGTGATTACTCTTAAAATTTTGACAAGTATTTAAACTTATTTTATCTATCACCATCTAGAAAACCTTAGCTATTACTTCCCTCCTTCCTTTCCCTCTGTTACTTACATGCTGACATAAATCTGGACTTTAAAAAAACATCTTTTATCAAGAAAGAGATGTTCAGTAAAAAAAATGAAAGAAAAAAAAAAAAAAAAACACCTTTTAAACAATCAGTTTCTCATTTTGCTTGTTTCCTTGCATGTCTTTCCTTTTTGATCCTGTGTAATCATTTCTTGTTTTGAGGTATCATATTCCAACTACACAATTCCTAGAGATCAGAGAAGTCCTTGTGTGTCTGAACATGTCTTTACTCACCTTCTCTCATGAGTGATAGGGCACACAGAATTCTGGGTTTTAAGTCACTTTTCCTCAGCACTGCTTCCCTGCTGTCTTTGATCCAGTGTTTCCTGATAAGCTCACTATGCTTCTCATTTCTTCTTAGGTAAGCTGATATTTCTTTCCTTCCCGGAAATTTAATGAATTTCTCTATCCATGAGTTTTACAATATTTTATTTGAAACATCTATGTGTATAAGCCTTTTAAATTTTTATCCAGCTTGGCATTTGGTGGGGCCTTTGGATCTAAAGATTTTTTCTTAGTTCTAAAATATTCAAGATTTCTTTGAAATATTTCCTCTCCTCCATTTTTCATTCTCTCCTTCTGAGACTTCTATTAGATAAAATTTGGGCTGCTGGACCCATCTTGTACATTTTCTTGTAGTTCTGTGCAAATCTGGACAAAGAATTATTAAACGCTCTTTTAGCACACATCCACTCTTCAGCCACATCTTCTCCATGTGCTCAAGAGATTACGTGATAGACCTACTTTTCATTTCCAAGGTTCTTTTTCACAACCCCCCATTTTTGTATTATGGATAAGAAACGTCCTATTGTATCTCTTTGATGATATTTATAATGTAGACAAATATCCTACTTTAAAAAGTTTCCTTTATTGTTTCTTTTTTGCTTTTTGTTTTGTTTTTGTTTTTTGAGATAGAGTCTTGCTCTTATCGCTCAGGCTGGAATACAATGGTGCAATCTTGGCTCACTGCAACCTCGACTCACTGCAACCTCCACCTCCTGGGTTCAAGCAATTCTCCCGCCTTGGCCTCCTGAGTAGCTGGGATTACAGGCACCCACAACCACATCCAGCTAATTTTTTTTGTATTTTTTAGTAGAAATGGGGTTTCACCCTGTTAGCCAGGCTGGTCTCAAACTTCTGACCTCAGGCGATCCATCCACCTCAACCTCCCAAAGTGCTGAGTACAGGTGTGAGCCACTGCACATGGCCTGCTGCTTCTTTTTTAAGAGACAAGTTCTCGTTCTGTTCGCCAGGGTAGACTGCAGTGGTGTAATCACAGCTCACTGCAGCCTCAAACTCCTGGGCTCAAGCAATCCTCCTGCCTCAGCCTTCCAGTAGCTGGACTACAGGCACATGTCACCACACCCAGCTTGAAAAAGGACTTTTTTTTTTTTTTTTTTTTTTGGTAAGAGACAAAGTCTTACTGTCACTCAGGCTGGAATGTAGTGGTGCGATCAGAGTTCGCTATAGCCTCAAACTCCTGGGCTCAAGTGATCCTCCACCTTAGCTTATCAAGTAGCCAGGACTACAGGTACATACCACCATGCCTGGCTGAATTTTTTAAAAACTGAGGGTCTCGCTACATTGCCCAGGCTGGTTTTGAACTCCTGATCTCAAGTGATCCTCCCTGCTGGCCTTCCAAGGTGTCAGGATTACAGGCATGAGCCACCCTCCACGCCTCTGTTGTTTCTATTAGATCTGTTTCCTCCAGCCTTAGTTCTGTTTGTCCGGTTTCATGTCTCCTTCACGGTATAGGTTTCCTCAAACATTTGGTGGTGCTTGAGAGGTGTTTGTCTTTGTATTTAAGAGTCCCTGTTTGTCTAACAGAATGCTGCCTGCTTCTGGTTTTCGCTGCAGCAGCCTCCAGTGATCTGGCAGAGGAGCAGGTCAGGCAGAGGAGCAGGTCAGGCAGCGGATGGCTAGTCTCTGGGAGTTGGTATTTCTCCTTCTTGGTCCTGCCACTCACCAAGAACGCTGCCTGTTTTGATGGACTAAGGGCTCCCTCTTGCTTTTCCCACCTGGAGACACAATCGCTGCTAGGCACAAGGTCACGAAAGGGTGACCAGTCTCAGTCCCTCCTACAGTTCTATTCCCTGAACGTACCTCCTCTGTGCTCAGGGAACCCTGACGTTGCTCTCACCACCCACAGCAGTTCTTTCTTGTGCGTGCTGTGGGCACTGCTTCCTTCTTCAGTTGATCCCATTTATCTCCTTTCAGGGATTCCTCAATTTCTAGTCCACTGACTGAACCCCTGCTTATCATATAGATTTACATATTTTATAAATCAGGAATAAAAAAAGAGTCTACAGAGCATTTTCAGCTTCCTTGATCGAATCAAACCTTCCATCTTACTCGTTTATAAACTCAAGTGCTACTTCTAGAAATAATGCACTTGAAAGAAACCAAAGCTCCTTATTTAAAGTGTTAATACTCTTGAGACTTAGAAAACATCATCTTAGCCTGAAGGAATTTATTTACTCTGACAGCCTTGTTTCACAATGTTACATGTTTAGTAGGGGTACGGGGAGGTAGATACAATTTTAAGTTTTGTCTGAAGGATGTGAGATCATCCACTGCAGCTGTGAAAAGAATGTCTATGTCCCCCCACAATCCATATGTTGAAACCCAAACTGCCATTATGATGTTATCTGGAGACGGGGTCTTTTGGAAGTAATCAGGGTGACTAGGTACGGTGGCTCACCTCTGTAATCCCACCACTTTGGGAGGCCAAGACAGGCAGATCACAATGTCAGGAGTTCAAGATCAGCCTGGCCAACAAAGTGAAACCCCATCGCTACTAAAAATACAAAAAAATTAGCCAGGCGTGGTGGTGGGCGCCTGTAATCCCAGCTACTCGGGAGGCTGAGGCAGGAGAATCACTTGAATCCAGGAGGCAGAGGTTGCAGGGAGCCGAGATTGTGCCACTGCACTCCAGCCTGGGCGACAGTGCGAGACTCTGTCTCAAAAAAAAAAAAAAAAAGAGAAGTAATCAGGATTACATGAGGTGGGATCTTGACAGGGGTCCTGGTCTGATGGGATTTGTGCCCTTATAAGAACACCACTCTAGAGTGAGCAAGCTTTCTCTACTCCCCAACATGTGAGGACACAGCAAGAAGGTGGCTGTTAGCAGGCCAGGAAGAAAGCCCTCATCAGAAGCGAACCATGCTGGCACTCTCATCTCAAACTTCCAGTCTCCAGAACTGTAAGAAAATACATTTCCATTGTTTAAGCACCCCATCTGGGGTACTGTGTTAGGAAAGCTCAAGAAGACTAAGAAAAGTGCTATATCCAACTCTACAAGCCCAAGGGACTTTGATAATTTTTCCCAGCAAAAGGCCACATGCAGACTCAATGTACCATCTGCTTTTATCAAGCAGCATAATTATAAATAAGTACAACCAGTAATCAATAGTTTTTAAATCTTTTAGGTGAAGAGGAACAGAAAAATAAAGCCTGGTGAGCAGTCTGCCACAGCCCAGGCAAAGCAGGTTATGCCAAGTGTTCCACTATTGGAACGCTAAGCATGTGGGGGTTGTTTATATCCTACTGCCCAAGGTCATCACCAAGGTCTGATTGAAAAAATTCAAAAAATTGCAACCTCAGGCATAATAAATGGGTTAAACACAGACTTCCCTGGCCGTGGTAAGCCAATGCCACAGGGATGACTGCTTAGGGCTACCTAGAAACCAACCCCAGGGGCTTCTACCCAGTGCAGCAGATAGTAGCAGTCATAGACTGCCTTGGAGTCAGGTTCCCTGCTCAGGACAGTGGCGAGTTCTTTGGCTGTTCTGTGCCTCACTTTCCCCAACTGTGAAAGAGGAATTAAAATGGACCCTTCCTACTTTATAAGGTTACTATAGGAACTTAAGTATATTAACTAAAGTGCTTCCTCATCATGGTTCCTGACAAACAGTGAGTTCTCAATGTTGGCCCTTATTATAAATCTGACATACGATATATATAAAACAGGAAGACAGGCAAGAGCCTGACAGAGAGGACTTCATAGGTATGAAGATAACTTTATGCTCATGAAGCTGAAAAATCATGCACAGTGGTAGCATCACTTTAATTTTTTTGAGACAGTCTCACTCTTGTCACCCAGACTGGAGTGCGGTGACGCGATCTCGGCTCATTGCAAACTCTGCCTCCCAGGTTCAAGCAATTCTCGTGCCTCAGCCTCCTGAGTAGCTGGGATTACAGACACCCACCACCACGCCTGGCTAATTTTGTATTTTTAGTAGAGACAGGGTTTCCCCATGTTGGCCAGGCTGGTCTTGAACTCCTGACCTCAAATGATCCACCTGCCTTAGCCTCCCAAAGTGCTGGAATTATAGGCATGAGTCACCACGCCTGGCCTCAGTGGCATCCCTTTAAAAAATAAGTATTTATTTGTATGTATTTTATGAAATTAGTGTACTGCTCCGTGTTGCACCACTTGGGTTCCCTTAAAACATAAGGTCCAGTATTAAGAACATCCACTTTCATAAAGAATCCTGAGATGCTTCCAATGCTTATTAAATCTGCTGATCAATCTGACTCCACAGTTCCAACTCCTTAAAGAAAAGCTGTTACCCAAAATACCAAATCATTTCTAAATTCACAAAATTGACAATTTTCATTTCATCTCGGAGTTGATTTATGCCCCATAAGCAGAGAATTAGAAAGCAACAGGAGAATTTTCACAGTGGCTAGAATGTATGTGTTAAACAAAAACCCTCTTCCGGCTGCAGATGTGCTGGACCTTAAGAAAATCCAGACCTGGCCAGGCACGGTGGCTCATGTCTATAATCTCAGCACTTTAGAAGGCCAAGGTGGGCAGATCACCTGAGGTCAGGAGTTCGAGATCAGCCTGGCCAACATGGTGAAACCCAACCTCCCCTTAAAAAATTAGCCAGATGCAGTGTGGCGCACCTGCAGTCACTGACCTGCAAACCGTGAGCACGGAATAATGACACAAATTTCTGTAAACATCATCTGCAACTGCACCTGCACATATATGAGTTTACAGATCTTAGACCTTGTACAGTGGAATTCTGTAATCAATTAAACATTTCCGAATGAACAAACAATTAACTGATTAGCACAGAGGCTCAATGCCAAAAAAGCAAGGGGAACATTACAAGTGCAGACTGACTGGAGTCCACAGGAGGGACAGGACCACCTCTGCAGCGAGATCTTCCCATGTAAACGCCGTTCCTCTCCTCGACCCTGAAGACTCAGGTCTACCCTTCTTTCTCAAAACCAAAATGTCTTCCAAAGAGCTTCACAGATTCTGCCAAATCCTTTAGCTCAGTTTCAAAAACAAGCACTACATGTTTCAGATTTCATTGTTTTCAGGTGTTTCCCTAGAAAATTCTACTTGAGGAAAGATGAAGATCCTGGCTTAAATGTGGAGGATCCCTTGTTCTTTCACAGACACCTGCTTTTTAAGGTGAATGGATGAATAAAGTCCTGTTACGTGAACCACTTAACCCTCCCAGATTATAAAGTTCATAACCTCTGGACACCTGGCCACTCCCATCCCTGCACCTTCCTAATCACGTGATTGCCTGACTGTAGGGCCCAGCTCGAGCGGGAAGACAAGAACATGAGCCTCAATAGCAACGGTGCTGCCTGGAGTCATCTGAGGCAGGCCTGGGAGGCCGCTTCCTCACCCAGCAGCTCACTCTGGAAGAAAGGCCTTTCTGTTCAGGGCACCAGCCCTACAAGGCACTTCTGCTTCACCCTACTCGTGAACAGCCCCTTTTTGATAAAAATGTGCCTTCAACTCCCAGCCTCTTATGAGGTGTTATCACCGACCACCTCTGACTTCTGTCCAAAAGGGAGACAGCAATTCAAATCAATCAATCAGTCAATCTCCTGCAGGCCAGAAAATGGAGAGTATTCTCTTACCTTTTTGGGATCCATGTTGAATTTCTTTCTTCCCATGGCTATCTGTTTGTTCCTCTGAGTCGTTTTGCTATTGGTGAGAAATAATTTAAAAATCACTCACGGAGTTTTCATAGTGCAGCTGAGTCATGGCCCTCCAGTGTACTTTCCCCTCAACAATGGGCTCAAGGAAGAAAAGCACAGGCCTTCACAGAGGGGCCTCCAGCCTCCGCGGGGGCAGCAGGAGTGGTGCAGCCGCTGTTACTCTTTTTTACATTTGATAACTTAAGAGATACTTCAGAAAAAACTAATGATGCAAACCAGTGATTTTAATAAAGCACAGCTCCTTATGATGCAGACAGGTTAATTTCTGTGCGGGTGAACCCTGAAGTGCCTGTGCTTATGCCTAAATCTATAAAGCTAGATGATGACTTAGAGAGAGGAGGCGATGAGAAGTAATATCCAGAGAAACACCCCTGAACCTCTCCATGAGAAGAAGAAAGGAGCAGGGGGACAGGAGAAGAATTAACAACTCCACAGGCTCCCTACATCCCACCACTCTCACCCTACTTTTTGCAAGTTTGACTAGAGGATGAAGGCAGAAAAAAAAGAGTACATAGCTTGAAGGTGTAGTCATATCATTACCTCTCCTCAACGGAAGTCAGATTGTCGATCTCTGTCATCACTTCTGCAATTTCATATTTCAGCCTCTGTCAAAAAAGAATTTTGAGGTGGGAGGTGGATCTTAACCTTCCTCCCCTGAGACTCAGAGAAATTTCAGTCCTCTATGACAAGCTTCCCTGAGGATTCATCTGAGCATAGTCACAGGGATGGAAAAAGCAATACTATTATCAATACAGCTAGAACTTCACAGTCAAAGCCACCACAACTTAGGAGAAAACAAAATTATTTGCTCACTTTTCATCAAATACCAGATTCAGAAGGGTCCACTATGCAGATCCTGGGGTGTCTGTATATGAAATCAAGAAGAGACACTGGGAGGGAATATCATAGCTGTAAAAAGATAAAACCAAGCCAGGAGTGGTGGTTCATGCCTGCAATCCCAGCACTTAGGAAGGTTGAAGCAGAGAGATCACTTGAGGCCAGGAGTTTGAGAACAGCCTGGGCAATGTAGTAAGGCTCCACTGCTACAAAAATACAGAAAAATTAGTTGAGCGTGGTAGTACACATCTGTAGTCCTAGCTACCAGAGAGGCTGAGGACGGAGGATTGCATGAACCCAGGAGTTCGAGGCTATAGGAAGCCATGATCATACCACTGTACTCCAGTCTGGGAGACAGAGCAGGACTTTGTCTCTTGGGGGGGGGGCGGGGGAAGGGGGGAGAAAAAACCAGCAAACTGCAAGACTTTGACTAGTGGAAAAAAAAAAAGATAAAACCAACAATACTGCAAACTGCACTATTCAGCCCTGCCTTGCACACAGTCACCTGCCTCCTCCTTCAACACTGTCCATGTTCTTGGGGAGAAGCTGAGGCTGGGGTGTGCCTCAGGCTTACATCACTGGTCTCAGGCTGAAGCTCAGATGTGTTTAGGTTGGTGGTCTCAGGATCACTTCTATCACCTTGAATGAGATGAAGCACCATACACAGAGCTCAGGGGAGTGAAAAGAACTGACTCAGGGCACTCAGAGAAGCCAAAGGCATCTTGGGGGACAGACCCCCATTTCCTTTGATGTGGCCCTTACTAATGAGAGAGGCCTCTGGAAGTCTCTAATTTCCCTGGGCCTCGGTGCTCTCACTGATAAAATGAAGTAGTTAGAGCTAGATTATGAGTCCACATTTATCGGCAGGGTAATGACTAATGTCCAAATAATATGCAGCCTTATTCTGCAACCAGAGAACCAATTCTGGATTATCTGATTTTTCCAAGAATGAAGGGTAACCTTAGAATAAAAATTTCCATGAATCTCTTTTCAAATACAAAGACATTTTTATTCAGGACCCTATTATTCTGTATGCCAAGACACTCAGACTTAAAATGCAAGCTCCTAGAAAGGAGCTATTGTCTGGGACAAGACCTGTCCCTGCCACGACCTGTGAAGCCACATTTATTTTGGCAATGACAATGATTAGGAAGCTTCTTAAAGAAGATCTCCATGTCTGATTGACTTTCCCAAGGAAGCCCCAAACAGAAGGAGCCAAGGCTGGCCACAATTTGACAGAGCAATGCACTGGTCTAACAACCACAGGCTCTCCCACACTGAGACTGTGGCTTTGTTCACGTGCTTCTCCTGTGGGACCACCCTCTACCCTGTCCTTTGAGTAAAGTACACAACACAAATGTGGAAAAGCCCATGTTTGTGTGCGTGTGTTTTTATTCCCCTTTGTTTAATGTGTCTTTTTTTTTTTTTTTTTTTGAGACAGGGTCTTGCTCTGTCGCCTAGTCTACAGTGCAGTGGGGCAATCACAGCTCACCGTAGACTTAACTTCTTGGGCTAAGGTGATCCTCCTACCTTAGCCTCCCAAGTAGCTGGGACTACAGGTACATGCCACCATGCCCAGCTAAGTTTTGTATTTTTTATAGAGATGGGGTACTTTTTATAAAGATGGACTATTTTGTATTTTTTAGTAGAGATGGGGTTTCACCATGTTGCCCAGGCTGGTCTTGAACTCCTGGGCTCAAGGGATCCTCCCGCCTTGGCCTCCCAAAGTGCTGGGATTACAGGCATGAGCCACTGCACCCAGCCTAATGTGTCATTCTACTTCTACCACCTGGTAGGCACTCGATACACAGCTGGAACCCAATACATGCCTACACATTCATTCAAAGGGTATCTGAGTCCCCAAAATGGAACAGGCAATGTTCTAGGTGCTAGAACATTAACCTAGTGGTTAACCAAAGAGGGTGCACAATTTGACAGAGCAATGCACTGGTGGCTTGCTGCTATTAGATGACACGCTGTCTGTGGCTTTGGGTTCGCAAGCTGGCTACTGCTGACCTCAGTTCCACAATGTCTTGATTTCTACCCAGGGTCTCACTGCCTGTGTGGAGTCTGCTTTCCCTCCCAACTTGATAACTTTTTCACTGTCTTTCTGTGATTCTTATATGCACACACTGAAGAATTTTTTTTTTTTTTTTTTTTTTTTTTTACATTTTTTGTGAAGTTACTCTTTTACTATTTTACTCATAAGCAAGAAATAGTTTTGGGTTTTTTGGGTTTTCTTTACCTCAATGTCATCAATAAGTTCCTTTTTTCTTCGACGAATGTCTAGAAGTTCTTCTCTCTCTTCTAATGAGAGGTCTTCAGGAACTGAAAGAAAAAAAGTCAAACAACTACTCTGGAGAACAATTTGACAACACCTAACAAGGGTGAGGTGTGTACACGCTGCCACCCAGTAATTCCACCTGCAGGTATTTATCCCAAAGAAATGCTCCCGCTCCCATTGAGACTGTGTCCTTAAGACACTCATAGAAGCGCTCTTTATAACCAGAAAACAGCCTAAGTATTCATCATTAAGAACATGAATAAATTGTGGTATATTCATGAAACAGAATCCCATCCAACAAAAAAAATTTTTTTAGGCCAGGCACGGTGGTTCACGCCTATAATGTCAGCACTTTGGGAGGCTGAGGCTCCTCTTCACCTGAGGTCAGGAGTTCAAGACCAGCCTGGCTGACATGGTGAAACCCCATCTCTACTAAAAATACAAAAATTAGCCAGGCACAGTGGCAGGTGCCTGTAATCCCAGCTACTTGGGTGGCTGAGGCAGGAAAATTGCTTGAACCTGGAAGGTAGAGGTTGCAGTGAGCCAAGATCCCACCACTGCACTCTAGCCTAGGCAAAAGAGCAAGACTCCATCTCCAAAAAAAAAAAAAAAAAAAAGTCTTCAGTTGTGTATTTAATTCCTATTTTGTTACTTTGTTAAAGAAACAAAAGATAATGAGTAAAGAGCAAGAGAACATGCAGAGTTTCTACAGACAAAGAGAATGTGAGAATGGGGTAGTGGAGGAACTGACAGATGAACCAGAAGACAACACCCAGGAAAAGACCAAAGGCTGACGAAAATATGATTCACAGCAGAGCTGACACTCTGCTCAGAGACAGGCTGGACTCTTCAATAAGTATGTGTGAAGCCAGTTACTTATATGAAAAAAATAAAAGCAGATTGTATGTTATCAATCATACATATTTTCAATCAATACAAGTAGATTAAAGGCTTAAATGTGAAGGGCAAAGGGCAACACTATACAATTTTTACAAGTGAATACAGGAGAATGTTTTATAACTTTGGGGTAGGGTAGGAGAGGACTTTTTCTTTTTTTGAGACATAGTCTGTCTCTGTCGTCCAGGCTGGAGTAGTGGCACAATCTCGGCTCACTGTAACCTCCATCTCCTGGGTTCAAGTGATTCTCCTGTCTTAGCCTCCCAAGTAGCTGGGATTATAGGTGCCCACCACCACGCTCCATTAATTTTTGTATTTTTAGTAGAGATAGGAGTTCACCATGTTGGCCAGGCTGGTCTTGAACTCTTGACCTCAGGTGATTCGTCCAACTTGGCCTCCCAAAGTGCTGGGATTACAAGCGTGAGCCACTGCGCCTGGCCAGGGAAGGACTTCTTAAATAAAACAGACAAAATATAAGAAACTAGGCCAGGCAAGGTGGCTCGTGCCTGTATCTCAGCACTTTGGGAGGCCAAGGTGGGAGGATCACTTGATGCCAGGAGTTCGAGACCAGCCTGGGCAACACAGTGAGACCACATTTCAACTAATAAAATAAAAAATAGCCATGCCTGTAGGTCCAGTTACATGGGAGGCTGAGTTGGGAGGATCACTTCAGCCCAGGAGTTTGAGACTGCAGTAAGGTATGATCACATTGTGCCACTGCACCCCAGTCTGAGCAATAGAGTTAGAATCTGTCTCTCAAAAAAACAAATAAAAATAAAGAAACTTTATTCACCAAAAGTTCCACACCACAAAGTGATGAGCTAATCCAGAAACTGCCCAAGAACTGGGATTCAGAATATCTAACTCCTACAAATTATACTATTATTTTTTGTAGAGACAGGATCTCACTCTGCTGCCCAGGCTGGAGTGAAATGCTGCAGTCATGGCTCACTGCAGCCTTGAACTCCTGGGCTCAAACAATCCTCCCACCTCAGCCTCCCAAGTAGCTAGAATTATAGACATGTGCCACCATGTCCAGCTAATGTATTTTTTTTTTTTATTAATTTAGAGAGAGTTTCTTGCTATGTTGCCCAAGCTGGCCTTGAACACCTGGCCTAAAGCAAAACTCGCACCTTGGCCTCCTAAAGCACTGGGATGACAGGTGTGAGCCACTATGCCCAGTCACAAGTCAATTTTTTTTAATTAATTAATTTTTTTTCTCCTCCTTCTCCCCTCCCCACAAGTCAATTTTTAAAAGACAAAAAACTCAGTGCTTAGAAAATGGACAAACAGGGCCAGGCATGGTGGCTCACACCTGTAAGCCCAACACTTTGGGAGGCTGAGGCAGGTGGATCACCTGAGATCAGGAGTTCTAGATCAGCCTGGCCAACATGGTGAAACCCCATCTCTACTAAAAATACAAAAAATTAGCCATGTGTGGCAGCGGACACCTATAATTCCAGTTACTTGGGAGACTGAGGCAGAAGAATCACTTGAACCAGGGACACAGAGGTTACAGTGAGCCGAGATCACGCAACTGCACTCCAGCCCGGGCAACAGAGCAAGACTCCATCCCAAAAGAAAAAGAAAAAAAGGAAAATGGGCAAATGACTTGCATAGGCACAAGACCAAAAAATTAATAGGAATAGGCACATGAAAGGATGTGAACTCTCTTAATAATCAAGGAAATACAAATTAAAATCCCAAAAAGAGACCTCCATGAAAACTACAGTAAACATAATTAGCAATTTTAAAATTCCAAAACCCGTCACAACAAAGAGAATGGGAACAGAAAAAACCACCACCACATTCTTATTAGCTGGATGCCAAACTGAACTAGCCATAGCCGATTTTACCCACATGGAAAAGGAAACTCTTAAACCAAGTAACCTAATTTACATGACAGAATCCCCAAAAGACTTAGGCTTAGGATCTGGCTGTACCAGATAACTCTGGAGGGGGGGCTGTGAAGAGGGGTCAACTAAAATAAGGAGAACTGGTAGAGAGGCTCTTTGAAATGCCATTGATGTCTGCCTCTCCTCTCCCATGCCACAGAAGACCACTTACTTGTCTCTAGAGAGTAAAAGAAAGAGACTGGGGCACTTTGAACACATTTGAGGGCAAGGGCACCCTACCAAAAACAGGGGTGAGAGATAAATGCAGACATACTCATCACTAAGCTGTCTTCCCCAGTGGGCTCCCAGACTGCAGGCCATGGGCCATTTACTCCTCTTCCACCACCCTGGACAGAGGTTAGGACAAGCGTCTTCTCTGAAGCATCCCACAGGCTTCAGCTCTAAAGATACTGATGTGACGGGCAGACACTGACAACCAGCACACCCACATTACCCTACAGAGAAACAGTCAACACAGCCTCCTGCTCCACTCAGAGCTTCTAATACACTTTTAGTTCTTCATTTTCAAACTGGAGGTAAGCTTCTGACATGCAAAACAGGTACCAAAATAGACACCAAAAAAGTGAAAAGGGATAAAAGTGGTCACACTTCAGGGTCAAAAAAGTGAGAAAGCAAGGCAATGCTGCCCCTTACCTCCATTACAAAGCTTATGGTTGACTCTTTAATACATGTATAACTAATAAATATAAAACCTTGGGGAAAAAGCCAGGCATGATCATGCGCACCTGTAGTCCCAGGTATTCGAGAGGCTGAGGTAGAGGATCTCTTGAGCTCAGGAGTTCAGGCTGCAATGACCATGATCACGCCACTGCCAGCCTGGGTGATAGAGTGAGACTCCCATCTCTTAAAAAACAGAAACAAAAAAAACACAACCTTGAAAACAACACATGCATTTCAACTTCACAGACTGTGACCTCTCATCCCTCAAGAAAAAGTGGCGGGGGGGGGGGAAGGGGGGGAGGGAAAGTCTGCTGCTGTGAGTGTAAACTGGCACAGCCACTTTGGAAAACAATTTATCTACTAATATTAAAGGCATGCATATGCTATGACCCAGCAATTTTACTCCTAGGTATATCAGAAAAATTCCTGTGCGTTGCAACGTAAGATACGCACCAATAACATCAAAGAAACCCATTTTGTGTAGATTAAAAAAGGAAACAGGCTGGGCCCAGTAGCTCATGCCTGTAATCCCAGCACTTGGGGAGGCCAAGGCCAGCAGATCATGAGGTCAAGAGATGAAGACCATCCTGGCCAACATGGTGAAACTCCATCTCTACTAAAAATACAAAAATGAGCTGGGCATGGTGGCACACACCTGTAGTCTCAGCTACTCAGGAGGCTGAGGCAGGAAAATCGATTGAATCCGGGAGGTGGAGGCTGCAGTGAGCCGAGATTGTGCCACTGTACTCCAGCCTGGTGACAGGGCAAGACTCTGTCTCAAGGAAGAAAAAAAAAAAAAAAAAAAAGAACCTAAATGCCCATCCAGAGCAGAATGGGTAAATATGCTCTTGTGTGTTTACGTAACAGAATCCCAAACAACAGTGAAAAATGAATAAATACAAGCAACAAATCGATGATCTCAGGAAAATAATGTAAAAATGAACACTTTTTGTAAGCTTGAGAAGTAATAAAAATATATTGTTTAGGGGTGGGTGTGTGTGTGTGTGTGTGTGTGTGTATAGCAAAATAACAAAGAAAATAATTAGAATGATAAATACAGAATTGAGAATAATATTTACCTACTAGAAAGGAAGGGTAGGCATGGATCAGGAAAGGAAGCTAAGGATACTTCAAAAGTATTATCAATGTTCTTCTGCCAACAAATATTATTATTTAATACAAATTTAATTTTTAAATCTTTAATAACATTTAATTAAAATATTTTAAAGAAGTTAGCAAAACTCTTAATCCTTGAGTTTCAAAAGCACTTCCACAAATCTGTTGACTACTCTGGAATTTACAAGTCTGTGAATTTAGATACAGCAGACAAAGCTCTTTTTCTATATATTACTGCATCTAGTGTATTTCAGTTTGGAAAATTCACTGCTATTTGTAACTAAATAGACAGGCCAGGCCAGTGTCTCATGCCTATAATCCCAGCACTTTGAGAGGCCGAGGCAGGTGGATCACCTGAGGTCAGGAGTTTGAGACTAGCCTGCTCAGCGTGGTAAAACTCCGTCTCTCCTAAAAATACAAAAATTAGCCGGGTGTGGTGGCAGGCACCTGTAATC